AGAATTTTACGTCAGTTATGAAGCCAATAAAACATGAGTAGCATGGCAGGAGCATAGAGGTTGCAGGGAAGAAAGGAAGGCTCAGCATTGCTTGGGAGGGGGGAGAAAGCTGCTTAATAATGCATTTTTAGAGTCTGAATTGAACTGTATCTTTGTGACAGTTTTTCAGGACATTCCAAGTTTTTCATAGTTTCCCTAAATATGGAGTCTGGCAATTAAGAAGAATCAGGCATTGATCTTGCTGCAAGGTATTTCAGGCAGAAGCAGAAGCCCAGATAAATCTAATTTTCATGATTCCTGTGATTTTAACAGCCATTTACGGAATGAAATCAGTGTTCGCTATTAAATTAGAACTATATCATACAATCTGTATGACCAGGAATGACCATGTGACTCCAATTGTTACACATAAAATCAGGGTTATGAATGTTCACTATACTGAGGAGTTAATACTTTCAGAGGCTCGAGGTCAAATGGGGCAAAGGTAATGATTTCTATGTACACTTCTCCCAGAGCTAATTCCATGCTTTTTAAAGTAAGGTAGAAAAATAGAATAATTAGATGACAGAATGTCACTTTCATTAAAAACTTTAGGCTATAGTCTTATCAACATCTTATTTTTAAATTAGCAAACAGAGAAGAGTTCCTGAAACATAGAGCAAAAATCCTAAGACCTGCCCCTCTCCCCCTAAAACCCCAATATAATAAATTCCCAAGCAAAAGTAAATGCAACAGCCTCAGTCCACAGTTTAAAATGAACAGGAGACTCAGTTTATTCTCCAAAAAGCTTCAAGATGGTTGAGACTTCCTAGAAAGTTCCTGAAACATGTCATTAAAGTTTAGATATGACTACAATTCTATTTGCTGACCGTATTGATCATACGAAAGCAGGACATTCGGTTGATGTTCCATGGGTGACTCAGAAGCCAGTTCTGCTGCATTTAATTCCAGTGCAGATTCACATTTAGCAGAAGTAAAGCTATATATTCAAGTTCACTACATTACAGCAAAATTAGAAGCAAGCTACAGGTTCGATGAGGGGTAAATAGTTAAATACACGCATTTATTAAGAGCAACATTATAAGGACATAGAAAACATCAGTATGAAGCTTGAAGCAATATGTAAAATGTATGACAAGATTATGCATGAAAAGCATGGTACACAGTTGAATAAAGCTATGTAACCCTATATGCCTAGGGAAAAAGCAAAGCATATATTCCATCCCACAAATAGCTCAACTTGCTAAATTGTTTGGTTTGGGACTCTGTATATCAAAACTGTATGTGGTATAATGGTAGTTTATAATTTCTCAAAATTAGCAAATCCTGAGGGTGTAACAGAGTGACAGTCTACACGGGGTAGGACCCACCACTCCCACCATTGAACTTCTAGTTCCATGACTGTAGGGACATGAGGTTTCTTCTAAAAAAAAACAACAGGGTTTCTCTCACTATTGACAGTTCAACTGGGTAATTCTTTGTTGCGAGGGGCTGTCCTGTGCATTGCAAAATGCTTGTCAGCATCCGTAGCCTCTGCCCACTAGATGCCAGTAGCACCCTCCAATTGTGACAACAAAAAAATGTCTCTAGACATTGCAAAGTGTCTCCTACGGTAGGTGCCCCCCAATGAATTTGCAAGAGGAGATCACTAAATACCATTCCAACTCTAATACCCTATGATTCATTCAAAGTCAAAAGACATATTGGCTTTTTAAAAAGAGCTAATTTGTAGATCAGAATCAGATTAAAGGTAGACAAAAATGTAAAACAGAGCCTGTGCAAATTGTCTTGAGCTCAATTCCAGCCTCACTCAAAGAGGAAAGTGTTGTTGCTTATAATTTCTCAATGAAACTCATTGAAAAGAACACCAGCTGAAGTTATCCTAAGGTCTGGGATGGCTTAAAGCTATGAGTGAGCCTAAGGTTGAGTTTGGGTTAGTATTTAATATTCATTACAAATTATCCTGTCCTTCTTTAACCTTGAAAATAGACTAAGTATATTTTGAATACTGTTTACCATAGCATCATTGATGAAAAGTGTTAGGCTTGTCAGTGGGACAACAGTTGTAATTTAATTAGAATTACACCACCCATTTTTCGTTACATAATTCTGAAGAACTATGACATTGGCAAGTAAGTAGGAGGGGCTGAATTTTCCAAGGAATTTTTATATTGCAGATGTAGAGGTTAAAGTACATGATAGTATCTGTAGACAATCTTTATATATTTGGATCTTAAAAAATTAGACACTTGGATGGATGAATGGATAAATGGATGGATGGATGAATGGATGGATGGATGGGTGGGTGGGTGGATGGATGGATGGTGATATGTTCAGTGGTCTTGGATGAGTAAAATAATATTGTAACCCAGTGCATCTGGAACCCTTTGGCGACAAATTCTCCCTTCTGTTCTGTGATACTAAATATCTAATTGTTTTCAGGTCCACAGAGAACACAGAGCAAACTTGGCACATCAAAGTGGCAGAATGATTAGTGGCTCCCAAACTTTAGCCTGTGTTAAAATCGCATGCGCTGCTCGTTAAATCAGATTGTTGAGCCCCAGCCCGAGATCATGATGCAGTAGGTCTGGGATGAGAATCTGCGGTACTAATGAGCTCCCAGAAGAAACGGATGCTGATGGTTTAGAGACCACACTTTGCGAGTCACTGGGATAGTGGTTCTGAAACTTGAGAACATACAGAAATCACCGATGGTGGTTTTCAAGTTAGTAGCTTTTCCCAGCACCTCTAAATAGGAAGCAGTAGTTCTGAGGAAGGCATAGAAATCTGTGCTGATGAAGGACTTCCATTCCAAGTGATTTGGATACAGATTGTCCTTGAACTGTTGTCAGGAGTGGAAAGCAGTAGAAAAGGTGATGGCACTGAAGATGAACTGGGGAATGGGAGCAGAGGAGAAGCAGAGAGAGGGCATTGGCCGAAAGATAGCGGCTGTGCGTTTCTGGTGAGAGAGGGCGCTCCGCGACTCGTCGCCAGCCCGCAGGACTCTGGGAACGCGACACATTTCTTAAATGGTTATGATTCTTGACTTTCCCTCAAGACTCTTGGTTCAAGGGCTGAAAGATCAGCCCATCAGCCAAAAGGATCAGATTATAAAGGAGTAATAAGTAGAGCACATGGAGGCGTGTATGCAAATTATCAATTTTTATTTATGTAATACATCTGGAACTTATCAATGCTCAACTGTTAGCAACTGAGTAAAATAGTTGATCCACAATTCACTCTCCATGAGGATGGTACATTATACAGAAAGTTCTCAGTAGATTTTGGCAGCTGGCTAAAGGCAATTTTAGGGAAAAGAAAAAGAAAAAGAAAAAGTCCCTAGACAACACTTACGATCTGAGACTAAGGTTTATTTTAAAGGATAAAGAATGTATACTATCCTTAAGTCTGAGACTCACTGTTTCCAGGCAGTCACAACCTGACATAATCCTCATGGAACCCCCAGCACACTTCAACCCAGGAGAAACTGGGTGGGATGGGGATAACTGACAATGTACGTTTTTTTTCTTACTAGAGCCAGGCACAATTACTTCTTCAGCCAAATTGGATCCTATGATAGCTATGAGTGTCTTGATTCCCAGATATCTGAAAAACCAAATAAAAAGTCTTTCTATTATTACTGAACAATGGTCATTAAAGATGGTTGCAAAGATGAGTTTCTTTTTGGTCCTTTCTTAAATACCCAGTCATAGCTGTATTTCCTAATAAGGTTCCTATTTCTGAATTATTAGACTTCAGAATGCTTATCTCTAACAAAACTATCACAAATGACAATTTGTTGTTCTAACACAGCCAAAAACAACTTCTCTCTTCCTTTTTCTTCCTTTTAAATGAAACCATAATAAATTCTTGTCCCTTGAGGTCTGTCATTATTCCCTTATCATTAAAATAAACACCCTGCATTAACTATACCCATGAAAAAGAATATTTTATTCTCTTCTTTAAGTTATGTCTATATGACAATAAAAAATTGCTTTAACTAAAAATATACACAATGGAGTACCTTAATGTCATGGTACTACATATATTCCATTTTACTGCATTACCTCTTTTTTTAAGGTTTATTTTTCAACTAATGATTGATTGACTTTTTAATTCTCAATTCTAGCTTCTTTTATAGAAATATATTTCTTTATGAGAATTTCAACTGTTTTAAAGATAAAGTTCAAATATTTATGTTTCAGAAATTGGGGTCAAGGTAGGGATATTCATATTGAACCCAAGGAAAAGAAAATTTATCTAAGGAAGCTACTCAGAATAAGCATTATTTGTTCTTATGACTAACTGGCATGAAAAATTGGCCCCTCTTTCTTTTGAACTTGAATATTCTAACAACACCTATGATATTTATGACATAGGACTTAAAATGCTCATATTGTGGTCTAAGGAGCATTTTGAGAGATTCTAGTTGCATAGATGGAATGGCTGAATGGTCTGTTTAGAATGACATTCTTTTTAATAGAAATACTAACATTGTATGTCTCTGACTTATTTTAAACTATTAAACCCTGACAAAAGGTATTACTGCTTTGTCATTCAAAGGTACAGAGGAGGAGGGAGGAGAGTTGATGCTTTATCATTTCCAGGTCCCTCAAAAATAACTCATATGAAATCACATGGTCACGAATTCTGGGGTGCTGGCCAGGCCAAGTTTTAAAGTCATTTTAGTCCCTTCTGTGCTTTGACTTTCCCTGTGTTACCTCCTTCTATATCACACTAACCTTTCTAAGTTGTGGCATCCAGATAAATCTTAAATTTGATATTAGGGGCATTACTTAGAGCTTATATTAGCAATCTCCTTGCTAATATCTGTCACCATTTAAATCTTCACTTTCAATAAAAGGAGTAGTTGTAGCCACCACTTTGAACTTAAAAATTTGCTTTAGATACCAGCCTTAATGTATTTGATTCTCTACTGGTGTTAAAAGACAAGGACCCAGTTATCTAAAAATTTCCATTGTAACTTTTCATTTACTTACCAGAAGCAAGATTTGCAGTTTCTTCAGAATCCTGACCTTTTTCATATTTAATCATTAATTTTGATGGCATTAACATTTGGCTTGGAATGTGAACCACATGGTCATTTTCACTGCCATCCAACATAAAAGATAAGTCTGCCTCAGCACTTAATTCCTGGTCAATGTACCTGTCTTCTTCCAGAAAAATCTGACGTGACTCAGCAGTAACTCTAGAAGATAAAAAGGAAAGCTTTAGATAAATCTAGATAAGTTTGGGGAATGCAAATATAATATTACAACAAATTAATACAGTTATTTAATTATATCTTAGAAAAAATGGTAAAAGTGAATTCATTTCAATCAAATAGTTCATGAAGATTCATTATACTCATTATTTAAAAAGTATAAAATGGGAGGAATCAAGATGGTGGAGGAGTGAGTGGAAGTCTCACTGACCTCTTCCCAGGACCAACCTGGGATTACAACTAAATTGCGGAGACATCACCTGGAACAAATAACTGAACAATAGCAAGAGAGGAGCCTTGTAACCTCAGAGACAGAAGAATCAGCTTTACAGCAATCTAACTGGTAAGGAGTGTGGCAGAGACTCGAGAAGGCAGGCAGGGTGTCCACGGGTGGCAGCACCAGAAGGATAGTGAAACGGCCAGTAGGGCCCCCCTGAGAAGAGTGGGGTCTAAACCATAAGCTGGGATCTCCAGCCTACAGCACCAGAGCCCAAAAAGTACACAGAAAATTGCCAGCTACAAAAAGCAGCAGGGTTGCTCTTTGCCAGAGATGGTCGGCTAGAGACACAAAGAGCTGTTTAAAGGGCCAACGCATAAATTTTTATTTGCAGCCACTTGCCCTGGTCTCTGGTAAAGACGGGGGCAGAGTGGGCTAGAGGAGAGACTGGGGAAGGAGGTTTTGGAGAGAGAAGAGAGAGAGTAGCCGGCAGGATCTCGGTGCTGACTCATCCCCCATCCAGCAACAGCCATGCTGCTCGGGCAGAGACCACTCCCTTTGAGCAGCAGCAATGTCAGAGGACCCCATAACTCTGCCATTAGGAGGGATTCCACCCCACCCTGTGCTGTCTAAGCCGCCTGCTGAGTGCAGAGTGGTGGCCACAGATAGTAGATCCCTGGCTAAAGGGGACGCAGAGAGGTCTGGAGACACTTGAGGAGAGACTGGGGATGGAGGCTTTTCAGGAGAGAATGGAGAGAGTAGCCAGCAGAATCCCAGTGCTGACTCCTCCCCCATACAGCAGCAGAGTGAAAGGATCCAATAACCCCACTCCCAGGTGGGACTCCGCCCCAACCTGACCTGTCTAAGGCAGCCTGCTGAGTGCAGAGCAACTAGATTAACAGCTGAGGGAGACAGCCACAGACAGTAGATTCCTGGAAGTCTCGAACAGACTGCCTAAGGTCAGACAGGAATGACATCTGACATCATCAGAGGCAGATCCAGAAAGAAAAAACAGTGGTCTCCTACCATAGAAGTTCATACCACAAAGTCAGGAGATCAAGACAGATCAACTTAACAAGCAGAATCAAAAAAGAAGTGTCTCACAAATAATGGGAAGACAAAGAAACACCCACCACTCAAAGGGAAAGGAGGAATCCCCAGAAAGAGAATGAAATGAAATAGAGGCAAGTAAACTATCAGATATTGAGTGCCAAAAGACAGTTACAAGGAAGCTCAATGAGCTCAGTGAGCTCAGAGAGAGTTACAAAAAACTATAGCGAAACTACGAGGAACTTACTGCAACTTATATCACCATGAGAAAGGACATAGAAACTATCAATGAGAGACAAGGGGAAATGAAGAATACAGTTTCTGAGTTGAAGAACACAGTAGAAGGAATCCAGAGCAGGCTAGATGAAGCTGAGGATCGAATCAACAAGCTGGAGGATAAGGTAGAAAAAAGCTCCCAGAAAGAGCAAGGAAATGGAAAAAGACTCCAAAAGAATGAAGAGGCGTTTAGGGAAATGCGGGACAACCTGTCCCATATCAGGGAAACCTGATATTATGGAATACTATCCATAGAATAGGGATATCAGAAGGAGAAGAGGAGGACCAAGGGATAGAGAACCTGTTTGAAAATGTAATGATGGAAAACTTCCCTAATGGGAGGAGAAAAAAACACAAGTCCAGGGAGCACAGAGGGTCCCACTCAAGAAGAACCCAATGAGGCCCACTCCAAGACACATCATCATTAAAATGGCAAATATCAAAGACAAACAGAGAATCCTAGAGGCAGCAAGGGAGAAAAAGGTAGTAACATTTAAGGGAGCCCTGATACGGCTAGCGGCTGACTTCTCAACAGAAACACTGCAAGCCAGAAGGGAGTGGCAAGAAATATTCCAAGCAATGAAAAGCAAAGGCCTGCAACCAAGACTGCTCTACCCAGCAAGGCTCTCAATTAAAATAGAAGGCAAAATAAGGAGTTTCCCAGACAAAGACAGCTAAGAGAATACACCTCCACGAATCCAGCACTGCAAAGTATGCTAAAGGGACTACTTTATGATGAAGAAAAAGAGTCTATGAATACCCAGTTCCTTTCACAGTCACCAATACTGATATTACCAATATTTTTAATACTTATTAATCTGATCATGACAATGATGTGTTATTTTAATTGTTCCTTTATTATTTGTTGAAACTAAACTTGTTTTTGTATATTTCTTGCCTATTTCTATTATTTTAAAAAAATTTTAAATGACTTTTTGGTATTCTTTATCCATGTTTTGATTAAATGTTTGTAGAATTTTTGCCCTAAAAATAAAAGAAACAAACCCTTAACCCTTTTTTAGATGTTTTGCAAATACTTTCCTATTCTATTACTTCTTTAATTTTTTATATGTATATTACTGTACAGTCTTAAATGTTTAATATAGTCATATTGCCAGTATTTTACTTCATAGCTTCTAGGTTTGAATATTTTACTTCAGGGTAAGAAAAATAGTAGTTTGTATTTTCTCCTAAAACTCCTTAGATTCTACATATTGATTTTTAACTCACCTGAATATTTCTCTTATATTGTGTGAAATAGGGCTCTATATTTGTTTTATTTCAAGTAATAGTGGTCCATGTACCTTATTTGTTGAATAAGCCTTATTTTACCCATTGATTTTAAGTTGATAAAATGTCAACTTAATCATATATTACATTGTTAGACAGATATATGCATTTGTCTCTAGAATGCTCATTATTTTTCATTGATCTACCTGATTATTTCTTTGCTGGTATCATGTTGGTTTAATTGTGGAGGCTTTATAATGGTTTTAAATTTTTTAATATTTTATAATTAACTTTGACCTTTTCAAAAATAAATAAAATCAATCTGCACTAGAAATAAATAAATAAATGGGGGGGGGGAGAGAGAGAGAGATGGAACTCCTACCTTTTGCAATAACAGGGATGGAACTGGAGAATATTCAGCTAAGTGAAATAAGCCAGTTGATGAAATACAAATACCATAGGATCTCACCTATAAGAGGACTCTATCCAACAAAATAAACTAACAAACAAAATAAACCACACGCATGGAAACATGGAGCAAACTGAAAGTGACCAGAGGGGAAGGGGAAAAAGAACAGTGATGGAAAGAAGGGGAAGGGACCAGAAAAAGAACATGTATGAATGACCCATGGACATGGACAACAGAGTGGGAATTGACTGTGGGAGTGGGGGCTGGGAGTGAGATGGGTGGAGGGGGGTGAAGGGGGAAAAATTGAGACAAGTGTAATAGAATAAACATGATTTTAAAATTAAAAAAAAAAACAAAATTACAGTAAAATATATTTAACCTGAAAAAAATATAATAAATCAACAAACAACAAGTGCTGGCAAGGATATGAAGAAAAGGGAATCCTTTTGCATCATTGGTGGGAATGCATATTTGTACAACGACTACGGAAAGCAGTATGGAGTTACCTCAAAAAATTAAAAATAGGTCTGCCTTTTCACTCAGCGATCCCACTTCTGGGAATATATCCAAAGGAACCCAAAACCTAATTCAAAAGAACAGAAGCATACCTATGTTCCCCGCAGCATTATTTACAACTGCCAAGTTATGGAAACTGCCAAGTGTCCGTCAGTAGATGAGTAGATAAAACAATTATGGGACATTTACACAATGGAATACTATTTGGCCATAAAAAAGAAAATTTTACCCTTTGCAACAATATGGATGGACCTGGAGAACATTATGCTAAGTGAAATAAGCCAGTCAGAGAAAGACAAATAAGATATGATTTCACTCCTATGTGGAATCTAATGAACAAAAGAACAAAAGGACAAAAGGAACTGACAATGAAAATGGGGACAGACTTATAGACAGAGAGCAGGATGACAGCTACTGGGGAAGGGTGGAGGTGAGGGGGTGGAGGGATTGAGCAAAAAGGAAAAAGGACTCATGGACACAGACAACAGTGTAGTGATTGCTGGGGGGAGGAGGGTATGAGGGGGATAAATGGTAATTATAATAAAATTTTTTTATTAAAAAATAAAAGGTATAAACTGGTATATTTTAAAATTCCCATTTATCCTTCCTTTTCCTCCATCTGCTTATAGCCTTATGAAATAATACTTTGGAATAAACCACATCTAATTTGCCACCGAGTTTTTGGTAAATAACAAGAAAATCAATGACAGGTTATTTGTAATAACCAAATAATGTCTCTCAATCACCATCGAAAATATAAAAAATAGTCATATAATTTACCAAGAACTGCTCTGAAAAGAATAAGACTATATAAAACATATCTCACTGACATCACACCTCTTAAAATACTCATAGTCTCTACATTTACATTCTTAGGCATTTAAAAGTTCCCTATGATAATTTGAAAAGTTTTTATTTTTTTATTTTTAAAGTATATTTTATTGATTATGCTATTACAGTTGTCCCATATTTTTTCTCCCTTTTATCTCCCTTTGCTCCACACCCAGTCCCCACCAACATTCCCCCCACCCCTTAGTTCATGTCCATGGGTCGTACATATAAGTTCTTTGGCTTCTCCATCCCCTATACTATTCTTAACCTCCCCCTGTCTATTTTGTACCTACCAACTATGCCTCTTATTCCCTGTAACTTTTTTCCCATTCTCCCCTGCTGATAGCACTCCATGTGATCTCCATTTTTCTGACTCTCTTCCTCTTCTAGTTGTTTGCTTAGTTTTTTGTTTTGTTTTGTTTTGTTTTGTTTTAGGTTCAGTGGTTGATAGAGTTTGTTGTTATTTTACTGCTCATAGTTTTTGATCTTCCTCTTTTTCTTAGGTAAGTCCCTTTAACATTTCATATACTAAGGGCTTGGTGATGATGAACTCCTTTAACTTCACCTTATCTGGGAAGCACTTTATCTGCCCTTCCATTCTAAATGATAGCTTTGCTGGATAGAGTCATCTTGGATATAGGTCCTTGCTTTTCATGACTTTGAATACTCCTTTCCAGCCCCTTCTTGCCTATAAGGTTTCTTTGGAGAAATCAGTTGATAGTTTTATGGGAACTCCTTTGTAGGTAACTGTCTCCTTTTCTCTTGCTGCTTTTAAGATTCTCTCCTTATCTTTAATCTTGGGTGATGTCATTATGATGTGCCTTGGTGTGTGCTTCATTGGGTCCAATTTATTTGGGACTCTCTGAGCTTCCTGGATCTCCTGGGAGCCAGATTGGGGAAGTTCTCCATTATTTTTTCAAATAAGTTTTCAATTTCTTGCTGTTCCTCTTCTCCTTCTTGCACCCTTATGATTCAGATGTTGAAATGTTTAAAGTTGTCCCAGAGGTTCCTAAGCATCTCCTCATTTTTTTGAATTCTTGTTTCTTCATTCTGTTCTGATTGAATGTTTATTTCTTCCTTCTGCTCCAAATCATTGATTTGAGTCCCCGTTTCCTTCCCTTCACTGTTGGTTCCCTGTATATGTTTCTTTATTACACTTTGCATAGCCTTCACTTCTTCCTCTATTTTGTGTCCATAAGCAGTCATTTCTGTGAGCATCCTGATTACCAGTGTTTTGAACTCTGCATCTGATAGGTTGACTCACTTCCTCACTTAGTTCTATTTTTAGAGTTTTGATCTGTTCTTTCATTTGGGCCATATTTCTTTGTCTCAGCATGTCTGTTACGTTGTAAGAGGCAGAGGCTTAGGTATTCGCCAGGACGGGACAACCCCCTTCACTGTGATGTGGTGCTGTATGTGGGGGAGGGGTCAGAGAAGGAACAGTGCCACTTGCTCAGCTCTCTGTCCACTTTCAGTCACTTCCCTTACTATCCACAAGCAAATTGGGCCCTTCTGGTGCTGATTCCCCAGTGGGTGGATTTGTATACATTCTAGGACCCTGTGGGTCTCTCCAGCAAACTCTCCTGTGAGGCTGGGAGGCCCTGCCACTGCAACCCCCACAGGTTTTTATAGCAAGGGTTTTGAGGCTTTAGTTTTCTGCACTGGAACCCTGGGTGCATGGTCTGTCTCGCTCCCCAGTTGTTCCTCCGGGCTTATCCACACATGGATGTGGAACCACACTGTCGGGCAGCTGCCACTTTGTCTGCCCAGTCCATTTTTTTGCTGTGTGTCCTCTCCGCCCTAGCTGGCCATCTCTGCCCCTCCTATTGGTCGGGATGAATGTTTCTTCTTTAATTCCTTGGTTGTCAGACTTCCATACTATTTGATTTTCTGGCTGTTCTGGTTATTTGTTTGTTTGTTTTTTATATTTGTTGTCGTCCTTTATTTGGTTGTGCAAGGGAGCTGAGATTAGTTTTTATTTAAATGATGATAGATAACATATTCAATATAAGTTATTCTTATTTTATTCATATAAATAAATTATACAATTTCAATGTCCATGTTTACATTTGTATTTGATACCTGTGTTTGGCACCCACAAGTACAACTGTAACTGTTCAGAGTTAACAAAGAAAGGAAAAAAGTCAGACATAATATGTGTGTATGAAATAATACATTCACACCAAGTAAAGCCAAGTTATATCATGACACACAGTATGAATGATCATTGTAGAGAAGTGCAGGTGAAGACAAATGGTGAAGAATCAAGTGCTCACCAACAAAGGCAGGCAACCTGCAAGCATATGGACCTCTGCAGTGTGCATTATATTTTACCAGTATCATGTTTTTTGTTTGTTTGTTTGTTTGTTTAGTTTTCAGGAATTCTATTTTGGCAAAGTAGAATCATCCATTACATTACATTAGTGTTTTAAATTTGCAGAAACATGGGAATAAAGAACAAACTGATCGTGACCAGAGAGGAGGAGAGGCAGGTAACAGGGAAAAGAAAGGGAAGGGTCAAGTCGAGGAACATGTATATGAAGGACCCATGGAGCAGGGGAGAGCAATGAGGAAAAAGTTGGAATAACTGTAACTGAACAACAAATAAAAAATATATATATTTGAAAAATTTAAAAAAGGACCCATGGACAAAGACAATAGGTAGGGGGGAAGACTGAATGTGGGAGGGGGGTGGGCAGGGCAGGTGAGAGCAATGGGGGAACATGGGGACAACTGTAATTGAACAACAATAAAATTTTTTTTAAAAAAAAGAAAGACTTAAATAAATTGTGTCTTGTTGCATTTGCTTAGATTTGATGCACAAATTTGTTTTGGTCTGATAGTTGCATAAGAACTATAAGCATAGGGTACTTGCAGCTAGATTTATGTTTATTTGTACATGTTTAAATAACATTACAATATTCTGTTGGTAGTTCTTTAGGACTTGATTTTCCTTTAAATGAATTTATGACTTATTCAATATTGGGAAACATTGTTTTGCGTGACATCAATGTTATATTGTCCTTCAGAAGGTGTTGGCTGTTGGTCACTTCCTTGATAAACTACCAAGTAAATGAAATATAACATTAGAGGAACATGCACTTTCATGAACTCTGGGGCACCCTCACCTTGCCTTTTTGTTTCTGAATGTTAGAGACCTTATCTGTTCTGAGAACCTCTTTGCTTGACTGCCACCTGAGAGGACAGAGTAATTATGGCCCTAAACTGGGGCTTTCATAAGCCTCCAGGCTGGGATCCAAGCTCAGGGAAATAGAGAAGCAGAGAGCAACCAACTGGGCCACTCTCTTTCTGTTTGAGGTTCAAGATTCATTCAGATTAATTATTTAGGATACAGTTATAAGGAAAATTATTTACATGTGCAACTCTATTGTGGGGTCTTCTATGCTATGTGTTGGGGTTCAAACTATGAATCATGCAGCCCCAGACTTCAATGAGATAAGACATTGGGATGAACTGTAATAATTACCTCAGCAGATATATAAAAAGGTACAAACAGCCCTGGCCGGATAGGTCAGTTGGTTGGATTATTGTCCCATACGCCTAAAGGTTGTGGGTTCGATCCCTGGTTGGCGTACGAATGGGATCTCACATCGAAGTTTCTCACTCTCTCTCCCTCCCCCATCCCTCCCTTCCTCTCTAAAATTAATAAACATATCCTTGGGTGAGGATTTTTTTTTAAAAGGTACAAACAAGGAGGAATTATGGATTTTGATTGTAGTAAAGACAGTCTTCAAAGTAGAGACAGCTTTAGTCAGGGCTATAAAAGATGGGTGGGGTTCCACTGAAAGGAACAGGGTCCTAGGGAAAGTGACCAGAGGTCCAGGAATCAACAGTTCACATAAGGCTGACAAGAGTCCAGTGTGGCTAGAACTCAGCACTTACAGTGGGAGAGATGGGAAGTGAGGTGGAGGTGGGTTGCGGCCAAATTGTGCTTTCTATTCTGGGATAAATTTCAGTGTGGGAATTTCTGAGGAAACCATGAATTTAGAGGCAAAATTATAATAAGGCTCATGAGGATGTTTTTAAAACATCAATCTAGAAAGCATGCTTGATATGTAACTTCTGCTACAGAAAATGAAATGCATCAGAGCCTTTACTTCAGAGACTGTATCAACCTAACAACCTGCCAACAGCCGGTTACACACCCATCAGTCCATTAACAGTCACTTGTAAATGTAAGAACTTTCTAACTCACAAGGAAAAACTATCTTGACTGTCCTCTTCTTGTAAATTGTTGAGTCTACAGGCATTCTCAAGCACCGATGGTGGGTACTGATTGAATCCTCCTATTGAAAGAGCAAAGTTATAATTAGATTTTTAAACTAGAAATTGTGAATACTAGATAAAGAGAATCCCAACAGGAATCTTCTTCAAGGGATAAATGTCACTGAAATATTTCAGCAAAATTTGGCTGGGGTGAAAACAGAAAATAGTAGCTACAAGAAAGAGCATTTAAAACTTGATTTTAGAGTGTTTTGCAGCCAAAGAATTACCAGGATCAGGGGAACAGACCACCTCAAATTGTTCATTTAAGGGTCGATTGTGATGCAGAGATCCATGGTTTTTATATGCTCAAGCTAACATGATACTCTAGGGGAAATTTGATTCCAACTCTATAAAGCTTTTTCACTCAGGCATATGCTAATGAATCAAATACAGAAAAGGTAACATTTTATTACATGATTCTGTTTCTGTGCTTCTGCACCAATTAATACTGATTTCTAGGAAGAAAAGAATCACAGAAAGGGTTTTAGCTTACTGACCTAAGTAAATTCTTTTACCCCCTTCCCACTGTTTAGTAATCTGTGAAATATTAAGGAGTCTATCATTTCACCCCTCATTTAGGAAAACAAATAGTTTTTGGTTAAAGGGGGCCTTTGACCATTGAACGAGGCTCCATGAAAATATCTCAAAGAATATTCACTGGCTTTATCATATTTCTCTGGTTCTAAGACTAGCAATTTTTTTCTATTTCCTTAAAATGAGACTGTTTTTTAATCTATTGCACTGGACAGTTGCTGCTAGTAAGGTAGGAACTGGGAGGTAGTTGTTACTGTCTGTGCATATGGGAATAGCGAACATGCTGGCACCAAAACTTGTAGAAGTGGTGTCAGTAGTTTAAAAAATTCCCAAAAGTATTAGGACAGGAGTCTTTTAATCCCTACAAACCAAGTGGTTATGGGGAAACAGTGAACTGGATGTTTTAACAACACTGCTCAGTGGAAATCAAAAGTAAGCAAGCTCTATGTAATTGCAGAGCCACTTAAGAGCCCAGCAAGACCAGCTTGGAGTTATTTATAGTCTTTCAAAAGTTCTGCATCAACATCAACCTTGATGGCACAAAGAACAATAATGAATGGGAAAAGGTGAATATCAATGACTCTGAGTCAAGAAATAGCTCACAAGACTCAAATTCTGAATAAGAAGTTCTAGAGATGTCTTAACCAGTCTATTTCATGGCCTGAGTGATATATGATTGTCTGTCTAAAAGAATTCTTCTAATTGCTATAAAATAAAACACCCTAAAAGGAAAGTTACTATCAACATTTAATTGGAAGCATTTTTTTCTTTCATTTTACGTAATATAATGATGCATGATACAACTGAAGGAATTTAGAGTTAAAGAAATAACATGATATTCCTGAGTGGGCAATCATTTGCTTCTTCAATTGAATATGAGCCAAAGAAGAAAGGTGGAGCTCTCTCTGCAATGAAGAATAACATTTCAAGATACAGTCACTATGGTGGTATTGGAGATTCCTTAAACACCAGGGCAACTTTGGAATTCTGGGGTGGTGGGATTGGTTTCACCAGGACCTAACTCTAAACCTGTCAGATTCCCAGAAAGAACAGGTTTCAGCTCAGATTCTGTGGGATCCTCCAGAGCAAGTTTTTTCAGCCTCAGTGCCATTGTAGTTTGGGGCTGGATCATTCTTTGCTGTGGGGGCTGGGAGGGTGCACTCTGCACTATAGCATGTTTAACATATCCCTGGCCTCTACCCACTAGATACCTACCAGTAGTATCCTCTCCCTCAATTGTGATAACCTACAAACTTGCCTACAGACATTTACAAACATGCTCTGGAGGGGCAAAATTATCCACAGGTGAAAACCACTACTGTAGGAAGAGTCTCTCAAACCACTTATGATGAAGGACAGGCATTTTTATTTCTAATCCTCTGCAGATTGATACACTTGGTTATCTTATTCAATAAGACAGACCCTGCTGTTTATGCACTTGTATGCCGGGGCAATGGCAAATAGCTTTAAAAGTTTCTAGATGCTTACTCTCAATTTCTGTATTTCTTTCTTCATAGCTCAGTTTGTGAACAAGCGCCTATTCAGTGGTGACACTGTACTTGGCCTAGAGCCTTGCTACTCAAAGTGTCATTCCTGGGCAGGAGTATTGACATCATTGGGGGAACTGTTAGAAATGCAGAATCTCAACCTCCACTTTAGACATACCAAATCACAGCCTGCATTTCAACAACTGTGTGCTGTATGCTCACACTCTTTGGGAGCAGCACAGGAATGGGATGTCTTTACACCCTCGCATGCGTCTCCAGGGTGGGCCGAGGCTGGGAAAAAAACCCTGCTGTAGCAGAAAATCTTATATTTAAGTGCTCATTTTGAAGACCATCTAAGAATGGCTAAAATTTCTTTAGGTTGAGTGCGCGTGGCTCAGGAGAACTCTGGTGACCCTGTGCTTTTTAAAGTGCTAAGATTTCGGCTAAGAGACGTTCTCTCATGAAAAACGAAGGCCTCGCTACACGATGACCAGATATAAACAGAGTATAATCAGATATGTCCTACCCCTTTCCCCAACTTACCAGCAGGCTAATTCATATGTTTGGGTTAGCTATAGATATGAAAACATGTTAGGTTATCAATATTCTTAACTAATTTGTTGAAACAGGAAAAACAAAATAATAACTTACGTCTGACTGCATATACAAATGGCTTTAAAAATTTCACAATGTAATCCAGATCTGGTTTATGAATTCTCCCAAGCTGTATCAGATGGTGATCAAGTGGGTAGCTGGCTAGCTCCTCCAAGTTATCTTTTTGTGGAGAGCCCAGGGAAATCACAAATATGACATAGCCTTGACACTTGGCCCTCAGAGCCACCTTCTTTAATAATTCCCTTCTCTCATAGTTTTCTCCAGCTGAGACCACAAAGATGACCTTATGTTTTCTCAGGTTGGGTGCTTCTGGGAAGAGATTCTGTATGGTCCATTGTAGGGCATGGCCAATGGTGGCTTCTCCATTTAGCTGTCGGAGAGAATTCTGGATGTAGCTCTTCATTAGGACTTGGCTGTTGTAAGTTGTAAATTTAAACTCAGATTTTACTGCACCCTTCCTTCTCCTAGAACTATCCCAAGGAGAATAGCTCAACAAGGCAATCCTATCACCAGAGTCTGGGATTGAAGGGTCTGAAGCAATGTTGAAGTTGTCAAGCATTGCGCTCACCAAGTCTTTCATAGCCTTAAACTCATCACTTGCTATATTATGAGAATTGTGTAAGAGGACGGCTACATCTATGTGTGAGTCTGCAGGCAAAAGGATCTCTTTGATGCAAGCATTTGGAGAACACTTATCTGAAAATACATAGAGAGAGGCATCATTTCTTCAATATTGGCACAAGAGTGTTTGAGATTTTCAAGCGATTCAGTGACTGATTACCAAGAATTAATAATCTGACCAATACTTCTTTAATCTCCCATCATTTAAATTAATGAGAAATTTTCAGTGTCCCAACATTTCTGTAGCAATTGGTAGGCAATTTGAGAAGGTCTTTGTTAAAAGCAGATGTGGGTAGCATAGATACCTGAAATCTATGAGTCATATCAAAACTCAGAAAATATTTTCAATACTTTAAAGGCTTTTAATACAAACTACCAAGCTGTTGCCAAGAAAACCCACATCAATTGAAATAACCTTCTAAACCAATTTTCACATTCTGTAGAAACTGCAAACATTACAGAGGTTGAAACTCTTGATATAGGGTATTGGAAAACAGAAAAAATTAAAATAAAATTTGCCATCAAAAGTGGAAATCTCTGATGCAGCCAGATTTAGGAACTCAGCCAGAGGATATGTACGTGTTTCAGTGCAACCAATTCTCCATTGGGTTTTACCATAGCAAAGTGTACAGCGCCAAAGTCTGTCTGATGATTCATGTTGCCCGTCTGAAGGAGCCGGAATCACCTGAAATGTCCCAGTGCTGTCAAACTGTATTGAAAAAACAAAAAGCATGTGCTTATTTGTTCATTTTCTTTAGTCATTATCAGGAAGCCATGGTGCACCAACTTTAAGGATTAATTTGAAAAACACCCAATTACCATTATCTTGTATTATAGCCTTTGCTCTATTCAGTGCATCTTTACATGTACACACAAAATCCACCCTTTTATCCTAAACATAATCCAAAGGAGAATATAAAACAGGTGTGAGCATCCCTATTTTATGATGAGAAGACTGCCACAAGATAATCACCAGATTCATCCAGTGGAGCAGGTGTTAAAACCTCACTCTTATTTCCAAGCCTTCAATTCGGCACTAAATTTTTACATGCTTCTCACTATGCACCAGCAGATCAAGTACCACACATAAGCTTCTGAAGTTGGGTCCTACACTCACAAGTTTTCTTTGGCCTCTTTAAACAGTGATCCCAACTATTGCCACCCAGATCACACTACCTACAAGCAGGCACATCTTTCAGATATCCAGTGGACTTGCTACTCACAAATTCCAATTAAAAATCTATTTCAAAAGGCAGTAGACAGCAGACACTAAGTCTATGCAAAATTCTTGTTAGTACACTGCCTGATTTTGTGTTTTTTGATTACATTTTTTGCTTTAATACTCAGCGAAGTGGACAATATGTAGCATTAATTAGTTAATTAATTAATTCATCTATTCATTGAAAAGAACTATCAATTGTGCATTAACTGTGCAAGGCACTGTGTGAGGCACTGTGCAAGGCAGAAGCTTTTATTACAATGAAATAAATCTATTATTCACAGGTAGTGATGAAGGTAACTCCCAACCTACAAACATGCTCATGCTTTTTCTCCATCTCTGTTGGCAAATTAAAGGGTTAGGAGAGACACGCCCTCTGTTTTTCTGTAAAGTGTAAAATGAACATTTGGAAATATTATAATCATTCCAGCCTTATGGTTAGAAAGTATTTACTGCCTTTCTACTCTCTACTTTTTATGAAACTGGATGTTTTGGGTGTCATTTTGTATTTGACCTTGTTGGTCCCCAATGTAAAGACTAAATGCTGCCATGGTAAATCAAGGAAGTTTATCCACAGGAGTAAACCACATGTTCTTAATGAATTCATTTATGCAACAAGTATTTATTGAAGGCCTGTACTTCAGTGTCGTGGGTACTGTGCTAGGTGCCAGAGGCACAGAAAAGAACAGAGCAGATAAAATCTTACGTGGTTGTGGGGGTCATATTCTATAACATAACAAATAAATCAATTATCTAGTACATTGGAAGATAATTATATTTTGGGAATATAATTATTTGGGATAATTACATTCAGTCAGGATCTATTGTGACTCTCCCAGTGGTTCCTATTTCTAAAAAATTCTTGGATGTGTTCTGAGTGGATTGATTCTCTCCATTATTTTTTTTACAGTAGAAATATGAGCTTTATAACCTCTTGGATGATATGATGGCTTCACACAGGTCCAGAAACATGTATTTCATGGATAATTTGAATACATTTAAAAATAGAACAGCAGATGCAGAAATTCTTCAGTTTGGTGGGTAGGGAGGGGAAACATCGATTCCATAAGAATCTGTGGCTCCAAAAGGGAAGGAACCTCTCTTGGGAATAATGTCCATACACAGCAAATGTTTTATATAACATTAGGAGTTCAAACATTCCCTAAACTCCATCCATCACAGGTTAAGACCAGCTGTTCAATGAGATACAAGGAGCAGATGACAGGTTGGAGAAATATCAGCAGAAGGCTGGTAGAGCACCATATTCTCAGCTCTTTCAATCAGACAGATCTGAGTTCAAATCTTATTTGGCCATTTAATCGCTGCACAAAATTGGAAAACTCACTCAAACTCTCTGGGCCTCAGTTTGCTCATTTTAAAAGGGAGATAACAACTGCATTGACCTCAGAGAGTTGTGACAATGTATGAGTATGTATGTACATCTCTAGGGACAGTGCCTGGCTCATAGCAAGAGCTGAGCAAATGTGTCTGCAATTATTATTCGCTGCTGTTATTGTTTGGTATTAGATTTCATGGGCCCTGGCAACAATACAGCCGTGTAAACTGCAGAGGGACTCAAGGGGTCGCATATCCCCCCTTACTCCCCACCATTCCCATCCTGCTAGTAGTATCACTGTCTTAAAAATGAAGAAGTTGCCAAGAGGAGTTCTTACCCCAAAAGCATCATCGAGAAAACCCCTCTCATTAAAAACAAAGACTGTTGGACTGATATCCAGGGCGCTAAGCTCCATGGTGGCCGCGATGAGGGATGACCTACTAGATGCTTGTCCATTGCTAAAAAACACAGCAACTCTCCTCACGTTGGCTCCCACAGATGTCCGCTTGAAAATGTTCCGGGCCACAAATCTCATCGCATTACCAATGTCTTGAGGTGCTGTGGGGCTTTTATGTTTTATCTGAGAAAGAAGCTGGAGGAGTTGCTTCTTGCTATGGTAGTCAGACCAACGGATGAGATAGCTGCTGTCCGAATCATAGGAAACCACAGCAACTCTAGCTCCCACAGGGCAATTATTTTCCCTGATATTAAGGTCATTGACAATAGAAGTGATGACATTCCTCATTTCATTAAATCTCTGGTCTGTAATGCCGTAGGACTGGTCCAGGGCAAACACCAGCTCTGTTGGATACAGTGGACACTTTTCTACAAAAATGAAAAACAGAAATATTAAGTTATATCAGTGAATCAAAAGCCTTTCCCAATCCCTTTACCCCAGTAAGGTTGGTTCACACCAAAGTCTAGGAAAATTCAAGTGTTATAGTTCTAAAACAGGAGGTACCTACATTTTTAGCTTGAAGGTGTTGCATAAAAATAGAGCATTAAAATTTGCTTATATAAAGTGCAGACTTTACAGCCTCTCTTTTCTAGTACCCAGCGGGGTACCTGGTAGATTTAACTCTAATTCATAGAGTTTTATAGGGCACTTACACGTACAAAGTTTTCGCTTTGTTTCGGAATTAAAGTGAATGGTGCCATACTTAGTGATAAGCTCAAAGACCCCAAGGGTTTACTTCAGTAGGCCTCTAGGAGACCAGGAGCCCTTGAAGTTGATATAACTGGCTTCATTGGCAATGCCATCCAAGGGATGTAGGGCACCATGCCACACGGTGGTGTAGACCCTGGGAAAACCATTCATGGCAGCGTCAGGATGACGAGTGGAGGGTACTTAGTGAGAAGAGAGGTGGGTACATGGTGAGATGAAAGGTGAGGGTTAAAGGGAGTAAAGGAGAAATCGCTTGTCCAAGAAGGTGGTGTTTACTGGGTCAAGTAGTAAACAGGGCAACAGAATATGGCCAGTCAGAGACCCCTGCCACTGAATCCCTTGGCAACACATGGCCCGCTCCGTGAACGAGTTGAGCTGTAAATTGTGTCAGGACCCAGGAAGAGCTATAGCATGAAGGGCCCATTTTACAATGAGGTCCGACACGACATGGACAGTTATAGTCCAAATCTAAAGACAGAATGTCTACAGAGAGGGAAGGCATCTTTATTCTCACAGGGTGAGAGTTTCTTTCAACCTGGTCTTTTCAGAACATAGTAATAATTTCAGCAAGAAACATTGTATGGTTAGAATACTCACCTTTCCAACAAGCTATAAAAATGAGAGAGAACGAGAGAAAGAGAGAGAGAGAGAGAGAGGGAGGGAGGGAGGGAGAGAGTCAATTACACTTTTGGAACACAGACTAAAAATCATCCAAAAACAATAAAAATTTCAACAAAGCTTAATATTTTGTTTGACTCTCACTGCACATGAGGCTAATGCCTAAATTATGGGAAGCCAGGGCTGAAGGCTGAAAAAAAGGCATACACGGAATTTTATTAACTTGTGAAACTTCTGACCCTTTCTCCTTGTGAGTCATGGCCAGCCGACTTTAGCAGAATTTCGGTTGAAATCTGAAACACTGATCACTTGCCTTAGAAGCATAATAGATGAGCTTCTGATTAAATGGTGAGCTGGCTAAAATGCAATTTGTTTTGAATCTCTTTTTGTAGCCTTCTGAGAGTCATTCAGCAAGGCAAGGCTAAAATATGCGGTTTTATTTTCTTCCCTGATAAACCCCTTGGGAACCTCTATTTTCCTGCAACAAATACTGTGAGGATTGCCCCAATGAACTTTGTCCTGGCTAAACATGTAGCTCTGGTATCTGAGTTATCCTTATGTCTAGAGAGAGAAGGGAACCTCCCACCCCCTAAGAGTTTCTCCCAAGCAAAATAGCATCTGGTTTCTCTAAGTGATTTACAGTCAGATGAAGTGAGGAAATCTTTAAGTAAGCACAGGCCTGGCAATTTTTATGTTTATTTTACTCAATTCCTAGGAAGCAAATGAGTCACTCCAACATAATGAAAGATTTTATTGGCACAGACAGCAAACTGGCCTTCATCCTGCTGCCCCACAGCAATGCTTCCCTCCCGTCAACCCTATCAATGTCTTTCGTCTCTAGCCTCTGCCAGCAGACAGCACATATACCCCGCCGCCTCCTCTGCATCTCAAGGCCTGAAACAGATGCCTTTTCTCCTGACGGAGAAGTTTTTCATTCCTTAACCTCCAACCCAGCTTTGAGGTTAGAAGCACAAGCGCTGGAAATAGACACACCTGTCTGGGTTGGAATCGCGGTGACTTTGGAGAAACTAGTTGGCCTCATTTAGTGTGGTTCTTTTTAAATTTATTTTTTCTAGAAGCCTTCTTTAATTATGCCTGTCCCTCCAAAACTCTAATCATTGGGGTCCTTCTGTTTCAGTCTCAACCGCCCTCATCTCTCTTCATCCAGCTTCCTAGATCACTTATTTGATTCTGGGGTCAGAGTCCCTGCCAACTGGTTTAGGACCCAGCCCTCATCCCCATGTGGGCAGAGAGCTGCTGCAGGATTTAAAGAGCAAACATGTTACCAGGAGTCCGAACTTACAGGGCCTCAGTGATGTCGTCTATGAAGCGAAGTCATCTGAACAAGCTCTAAAGGCCTGTCACCCAAATCCTTATCTAAGATCCAAACTCTGGAATTCCATGCTCACCGATCAGCACCTGCCTGGTCATAGATCCCAGCATTCTCCCCTGACCCCCTAATTTCCATACGAACTCCCTTCATTCTTCCAAGAGATCCTCTGCCTCCTTTGTTCTCCCTCGGGAAGGCATCATTTGATTCCACTGAGAACCAGCAACACCTTGAAGGGAGTCTGACCACACACTCACCTCCTCTACTGTGAATCTTCTTTTGTCCTCTCCCTGTGACCTCGGGCCTGGTTCTCCCCTCTTCCCTGTGCTGGAGAGCCTTGCTACTTCTCAAGCTATGCCTTTCACAAGGTCCCCTCCCTCTGAGTCCTTTCTCCACTGGTTTCTTCTTGCTCCTTTTCAAGTTGCCCACATTTGGCAGCACCTCCCCATCTCTGCAATGCCATTGCCTGTCCTTTGGTCTTCCTGGGTTTAGCCCTTGGGATTCTGTTTCTGTCTCTCTAGGTTCCCATCCTTTGGAACCTCATCTATCCATGTGGCTCTAAGGACCACAAATGCTTGAGTGACTTCAACATCTGAGTCTCCTTCCCTGACCCTCACCTGTATTACAGCCCCGTTTCATTGGCTGCCTGCACTTCACTTCAGTTTAGGGCCTACACAATGTTCCTCTACCTCTAACATGTTTAAAGTCATCACGTTTTCCTACTAGTTGGTTTCCCTCCATAACCCCTCCTCTGCCTCCTGATCCACAGTGATACAAAGCCTCTCCCTGCCTGGCCCTAAAGGGATTTTAAATTTGGTTTAGTTGTTGTCCTGTCCTTGCCACGCGCTTGCAAGGGCTACATTTTCATCCAGTCTTCTTCAGTAAAGTCTCTGGTTTTCCCATTTTACATTTTTCTGATTGTGATTGTATAAGCATGATTATAAACTCCAATGCAAACACGAAGACTAATCACCTAATATTCTACCATCCTAACACAAGTTGTTACACTTTTCTACCTTTGCCTCTAATATTTATTTCTATGTATATATATTTACCTATATGTAAAAATGAGGATCCAACTTAATTTTATGCTTTTAATGGCAATATTTTTCATATTCTGATTGTCTTCATAAAAACCTTATCTGCTTAATATTTTACCAGAAGATAATGTACCATAACATAATTATTCTGCACGTGTAAAGAGTCCAAGTGTTCAGTTATTTTGCTCTAATGAATATTCCAACATTCATCTATGCCTATAATTCTTTCCTTGTTTTGCTTTATTTCCTTTGGATACATTTTCAGAAAGGAGATTACTGAGGTGTTTTCTACCTTATTTTCCTCTTTCATAGCCAAAGGCAACCCCTCTATTTGTTGACTTCTGCTTTTTTCCTTTGCTGAAACTATTGTCTTGCTGCTGCCCATCACCTCCTCATAGTGGGGATTCAATGACGCCCATCCAAGGAGACTTCATTAATGAACTAACCAACTAACCCCAAACTCCCATGATCATGCCTTTAATACCATGTTCTCTCAGGCCTTTGTACATCATTGTTGCATGAATGTGTGAGCTAATTCACACACCATTTCAGTTGGTCTCTAATTGCTTCCCACAGGTATGATTTCTCTCCTGTGTGAATTGCACTTCATGAGCTAAGTTAAAGTTCTTGTCATTACATATACCCCTCTTCCTCCCACCTCTGATGTGAGCTGTCCCCACAGCAGCTTTCACAACAAGCCTGTGGCAGAGGATGTCTGCCTTCTCCACCAGTGAATTCAGCCTACGGGTCCTGGATGCCCACACCGCCTTCCCCGTAAGGGCCCTTACCAATCACTGATGCTCTTCTTCCCTGACACACAGATACTCACGACTATGGTCCCGCACAAACTGGATCAGATCACATTGCTATAAATAAAAAAAGAATAGAGACATGAGCACAGCGCCCTCCAAATGACCGTATTTATTTCCCAGTGGACTGGTTGGGTTTTCTTTTGTGAATAAGGAGATACGTACAGAATATATAGCTGTCCCCGCCTTGCCTTTAGGGCCCTACGAACACAAAACCAGAGAAGGTTATTGGTGCATGGATTGGAGTCTTTAACATCAAAACAAAAGCAGAGGGGGGAAAAATATACATTCCTTTTTTTTAGTTAAAAAGGATGTTTCTGCATGTGTTTATTTCAGAAAGACAGAAATCTCTGAATTTGAATGACCTTAATTTGGTTATTTTGGGGAAATTTCCAAAATAGTGGAGTACAAATGTTTGTCAACATATATTATTCACAGTGGCCGAGACATGGAAACAACCTAAGTGTCCTTTGATAGACTATTGGATAAAGAAGATGTAGTACATTATACACAATGGAATACTGCTCAGCTGTAAGAAAAGATAAAATACTACCATTTGCGACAACATGTATACATCTTGAAAACATCATGCTACGTGAAATAAGTCAGATTAAAAAGTCAAGAACCATATGCTCTCACTCATATGTGGGATATAAAACTGAAAGCAACAAAGGAACAAACCAGACAAGCAAACAAACAAAAACTCTTAGATACAGCCAACAGTATAGTGGTTACCAAAGGGAAAGGGCGGTGGGGAGGATAGGAAATTGTAAACAGGGTCAAATATATTGTGATGGAAAACCTTCTTTCTTAAAAGCACAGCTTGCAGAGAGTGATGATGCATTCCTGTTCTGGTGGATTACAATGGTCTTTCCCCACTTAAATTAAGAGTGTCAAGTTTTTTGTATCAGTGTTAAATGAGTGAAGCTAAAGTCTGCCCAGAGTAAACTGAATTATTTTATTTCTTAAAGATGTTTGCACGAAAGATATAACACTTATGAGAAGATATAATACTTCTCATTAGATAACTTAAAATTATAAACAGCAAACTTCCCAAAGCATGGCAGGAAGGAGAGGAATTTATTGAAAACTTGGAGGTACAGGTTTATAACAAATCAAGGAGTTTCAAATGCAAGCAGTAGCCTACAGCCTCTACATACACGAAAGAACCAAAGGTAATTATGTAGGAAAATGAGCATTACACAAAAGAGCAGGCACACTAAGCTCATAAATGCTGAGAGGTTATAAGAGAAAGGAGTACATGTGCTGTATTTTTCCATATATAATGCACTCCAGTGTGTACTGTGCACCCATATTTTTTGGCCCAAATTTTCATGAAAAAAATCTTTTGTTTTAATTTAATTTTTAATTTATTTATATTTAGACACTTGTTTTTCATATTATAAAGGAACTTTAGCATTTGTTTTTGAATATATTATGGCACAAGAAATTGTATGTAACAAATAGTTACAAAACACAAGAACAGACATAAGATATTTCAGGTACTACTCACGTATAATGTGCATCCTTATTTTTTCCCTTTATTTTAATGTGTATAAAAGTGCACATTATACATGGCAAAATATGATAATTAGTGAGATGATGTGAGAAAGTTCCTGAGAAAAGGCAGTCCTTTCTTGACAGCTTAAGCTTTTCTCTTTTCCCCTTCTTCCTTCCTTTTATCAGGATCAGGTTTTTCCTTGGCAGCTGGTCCTTAACATATTTGCTCACATGGTTCCCCTTGGGCAACTGGTGAATACTAGGATGCTGGCTTCAGAAAATGCTATTACAAGCTCATGCTCATACAATTTCACTGGCTCCCCAGCTGCTCAACCACAAATGTCAGTGCAAGAATCTTTGTTATAAATGGCAACTGGGTCATCTGTTCACCCATTCCTCCGATAATCAGTGAAGTGTCTGCTGAAGGCCAAAGCACCCCACTGCATGCTGCTGGTGTTAACCAGAGCTGTTGTGGCATCCATGAGTCTTCCCACGGGAGAATATTCTCTTCCTGACCAAATCAGGAAATTATGCATCTCACCAAACGATGCTGACTCATGTCCTTCCGTTTACAACTTAGGGCAGAAAACAAAAAAGAATGCACGGCCACATAAACAGAGAGAGGACCAGCTTCTGGCCAATAAATAGAAGAGGCAGCCCAGAGTTTACAGAGGATCAGAACTGCAGAGAGTATGTCCTAAAGGACTTAACTATAATTTTGAGCAAGTTTTTAAGCAGAGGCTGAAGATTAAGGGCCTGAGACAAAGAAGCCACATTCTACCAGATCAGCAGGGTCAAGTACAAAATCAGGAAAATATGGGATCCTCCCAAATGAGAGCTACAGAATCTGGACAAGAGCTAAGTACAGACTGGAGATTGGCTCACAGACTAGATTCTCACCCATCTGGCTAAGAATATTTACCAGTTAATACAAAAGAAATAAAAGATTGTATCAGAGTATCCATTACAGGTCACTGATTCTCATTCTACTATGGACTCAGTCTTCCATAAAACACCCACATTTTTTGTTTCCGTTACAATGTCCCAAGTTAGAGGACTCCTTCAGGATGTCAGAACATATTCACAAAGCACAAAACAAGGTGAGCAGCTTCTCCACTCCTTATACAATGCTGCCTGAGCCTCCTACATACAACACAGGTGCTGGCAATGTTTACTTCTTACCTGACTGTGCTCGTTAGGGGAGAAAGAGTAGGTGAATAAATCACTACAATAACATGAAAGGGACAAAAATAGAGACGTGGATATTTCATCAGAGGGAGATGTGCCCGACTCTGCCCAAGAATGCATCCAGAGGTGACATTTCTCTTACAATAGAATCATACTGGGAAGTTGCAATTATATTTCCAAATATCTCTTGAGTTTAAATTGTGAGGCTAGGAAGGCACTATGAATGGTTTTGGAAAATTCTATCAACTTCCCTAGCATGATGGAACTTTGCCAGGGTACTTTTATGAAGCTTATGCAATCCCATCCCTATTTTTTAAGCTTCAGCAAAAAATAACAGTAACAGCTAATATTTGCATTGAACTTGAGAGTTTACAAAGAGTGCTCACTTGCGATCATGATCCTCTCAGCTACCTTTTGAGGTGGTTAGCACCAGATATATCACCTCCATTTTGGAGGTAAACTGAGGGACTCAGTGGCTGGCCCAAGGACACATAGCTAGTAGGAGGCACAATCTGTACTTGAATCCAGTGCTTCTGACTTTAAATTCTGTGCCGGTTCCATTGAACATCCTAGAAGCCAGTATAATATATGTGACTTAGTTCTTACGGATATACTTACTCTCCGTCCAGGAGATCCGGGAGGTCCTCGAGATCCCTCTGCACCTTTCGAACCTGCAGTGGACTGCAGACAGAAATATGGGTTACTTTCCACATCACCTAGCCATGGGACTACCTCTGTTTCAATGAGACTTTACAATTCAAAATATTTTTTTAAAGGAAGCAACTATTAATTCAAGTCAGTTCCTTACTTGTAATATAAATAGCCATTCTTAATCATTGGTAAACATCCATTTCCCTCTTAGCCTCTTCATTTAGTGACATATTAGCTCTGGCATTGGCTATGCATTTAAATCTAAAATAGTTAAAAGCTAGGATTGGTGCTAAAAAAGAAAAGAAAGAAAGAAAGCCAATATACTAGGGCACACAGAAATCAATAAAAAACCCCTCCCAACTGCAAAGGATCAAATACAAAATATCATTGCCTACATACATAAGAGGACCTGGAAGTTCTATGTCATCCCATACCTGAAGGTGATAGATATGGAAGCTAATGAAATATATCCAGCCAGATGGAAAGTATCTACTGAATTGCATCTCTTTGACACTGATTACGACTACAGATATTACACTCGAAGTTTAAAATGAAAGGAAGCTTGTCTCAGCACTCTGTTTTTAAATAAATATAACAATCTACTCTGCATTTCGCTAATTAGATCTCAGCAGCCTTCCTTTTAGGACATTTCAATGACTACCCCAGATGACCCTGGTTGTGGGCATTGTCAGAAAACCCGCAGGGACACAGTGGAAAGATGTCAGCTTCATTTCCACTCACAGGATTGATATTCTGGGTTGTCAGATGTGCCTTAGAAAAGACGGGAAGACACTGACAATCCTTGGAACAGCCAGTTATCCATCTGTAAATCTTTATAATAGTTCAGAGTCATGGAACCATGAGCTTTTAGAGCTGAAAATGACCTTCTGTGTCATTAAGTTCAACTCTCAAGTTGTAGAAATAGAGACACTGAAAAGGTGCATTGAAGATCATAGAGCTAGGAAGTGACATCTCAGATGTCCTTGGGATGAACAATAATCCACCTTTATGATTGCCACAGAAAAGCCAGGGTCTTTCAAAGAAACATGTTTTATTTCTGGAATTATATGCCGCACTTACCCTTCCCCTAAATCCTTTGAGTCCAGGTGCCCCAGGGATTCCAGGATTGCCGATTTCACCCTGAGGATTCAGATGTAAGAAATCAATCTTTAATCAAATGTTAAAATATTTGCTATGGAAGAATAAAAATATCTCTCTCCAATCCAAAACCTAACTGATCTTATAACAATGCCATATATTAAACCCTACAAGTCATTTTCTCCTATCATTTGGAACCAAGTCATTGATACACTTAGATATTCTGTAAACTATTTTAAATTTCCTAAGTTGATTTATAAATATGTGCAATGGCTATCTAATAAAAAAAATCTTTAAAAAAAAAGCTTGAGAACCAAGGAAAACATGTGTAACATTGACTACATAAAATACTAAATAGTGAATTATTTCCTAAATTTATGTATAATTTCTGAAAAAGCTAAAGGTAAAAAAATTCATTCTGATGTTGATAGACTAATTTTGGCACTTATTTACCAATATGCTAATTTCACATTTAACCCTACATTGAAATATGCTGTTTTCCTCCCTTTATCAGTAAATTAGAAAAATTGGTCCTCCACAATGAGAACTCTTATCCTAACAGTTATTTATATAGTCCCTTCTTGTACCCTTCTCTACCTAAGGAAAGAATCTCTTTTGGTAATTTACCAATTAAAAGCACTTTTAAAAGGATTCAAATATTGTCTCTTTTCCTAGAGTTGATTTGATTTCCTTAATTAGACACTTTTTAAATCCATATTTTGAGTTTTAATTTGAACATCAAATTAAAAATGTGAAAGACACCCTTTTAGACAGGACACTTTTTTTAAAAAGAAAAACTTATTGCATAATTCCAGTGTATAAGATGGATATAACACGATCTACTCTGGTTGAAATGGAGGGTGTATCGGGTCCTGGGGCATGGAAATGGATTTCATCTGGTAGGTGATGAGGAATTCTGGAAGATGTTTGGTCAGGAGAGGAGCAAACTTAAGGCTGTGCTTTGGGGGAAAAAATCAAGTGACAGTATTGTCACTTATGTATTGTTTGAGATTAACTAAAGCAAGGAAGAAGTGCAAAGTAGGAAACCAATGAGAAGACTATGGTAATCTCTCAGGTAAGAAGAAATAAAGGCCACAAAAAAGAAGGACAAATAACAATGGTGGAAACCAAAAGCTTTTTTTTTAATATAAAAAAAATTTTTTTAGTTTTGTTTAGTTACAGTTGTCCCCATTTTCCCCTGAGATGACTGAGGCAAAGAAATAAAAAAGAGGACAAAGGACTAAACATGAGAGAATACCCAGAGTTAGGGTTTCAAGACAAGGGACATCAGGCAATGAAGCCAAGAAAATCTTTTCCAACTTACAGATTCACAGAGTTAAGTATGGTCCTTTTTTCATGAAGCTCAGGTAAAACAACTGCCTTGCTTTCTGTTTGTTTCGTTGAGGTCTACAAACTTATCTCAATTCTCAAATAAAAGGCTAAGATCATGGTAATATCAAAAGGTCATGTGCACAATACCTTTTCCCCCACAACTCCAAGTAATCCTCTTGAACCCTATAATGTTCAGCAGAAAACATAAGTAAATCAACATAACACTTCTACAGTATGATCATTTTTTCTCATATTATTTAGGTTTGATTCATCAATTAAAGAAATAATCATTTTCCATATTTACCTTTATTCCTTTTTGTCCCATAAGACCGTAGCCTGGGATGCCATAATCTCCCTGTGAACATATCAGTTCATTTCAATTTCTCAGAACTGAAAATTAATTGTAGTCTATACAGGAGAGGTTATAATGTCAGGAGAGAAGCATAGGGGACTTCCCGGTAGAGGGGGCCTAATCAGTGAATTCGAACTCTGGGAACATGTGTGTTGTTGGGTTTTCCTCACTTCTTGGGACTTCTTTGGACAGCTCTACTCTGCAAACATTGCAGGAGACAGCGGGGTGGTAATTTAGGACTTAGGAAGTCAGTGGCTGTTCCTTGCCTGGAGAATTAGGAGCTGGTCCAAAGGACAGAGGTGAGGAATTCCCCGAAAAAGAATTATAAATGGCCAATAGACATATGGAAGAATGTCATCCTCACTAGTAACCAAAGAAATGCAATTTGAAACAGTAATGAGATACCCTTTTTTGTCAATAAATTGGTAAAGATAAAAATAAGGAAGTGACAATAGCCACTTTTGGTATAAATGGCCTGAGGCAAGCATGCTGTTCCATAACACGCGGGTGCATATATCACTGGAATTTTCCTAAGAGCTCTCTGCAACAGAGCTCAAGCCTTATTTAGATGTGTGCATAATCTTTGACCGAGCTGTGCCATGTCTCTAAATTTCTATGTAGAAATGAATTACAGTTTTGTTTAAAAATTAGTTATGTACAAGAATGTTCATTTCTGTTGCTGTTTATGACAGTGAAAAACTAAAAACAAACTAAATATCCAATAATAAGAGATTGGTCAAATGAACTAAGGTACATACATTCAATAGAATATTTTGAAGTTAGTAAAAGTGATGTCGAGGGGAAAATGTAATGACATGGAAATTTGCTCCTAATACATTGTTAACAGAAAAAAAAAGAGGGATTTTTTTTTTTTGGTATCTCTAAAGAATGTTAATGATAGCTATCTCAAAATGGTGGGATTATAAGTAATTTTTTTTCTTCTCTATTTCCCAATTTTTTGCTTGGTAAATTTTTTTTATAATATCTATGCATAACAATGTAATAAACATTATTTTTAAAAAGGAACAAAAAATTGCTCCTGGGTTGGATGCTCCATGGACTGAAACTCTCATACAGCCAGAGTCACTAGAACAGATGCCTATTTCTTGGCCCTCTTCCCCTCTTCTTGTCGTTGCCCTAGAGTTTTGCAAGAAGGGAAGAAAATGGGTGGGCTGGTTTTCAACCAACATGTGTTTATATGTCCATATTGGTTTTTAAAATATTGAAATGGCCTGCTCTGACTTATCCATGACCCCCTCTGCACGACCCCTTTCCCTCTGCTGTCCTCCCTCACTTTCACAGACCAGCTGTAGAATGACAGCTGCAGGGGATGGGAGAAATGTCCCCGCGTCTTCCTAGGAGGTGCTGAAATGTCTTTTCTGCCTCATATGGTGTCAGCCTCTTTCTCTTCGCCTCAAACTGAGCGCTTGGGGCTGGGAAAGGGGTAAGGGCCCGAAAACCTCATACCTGTTCTCCTCGCTGTCCAGGTCGCCCCACTGGCCCAGATTCCCCGGGAGTTCCGGGTTCCCCCTAGCAAATGGGACAAAGAGAGTGTCAGACTGGTAAAACCAAAGCTCGCTCCCACCCCAGGAAGTGCTGTCCACTAGAAGGGAAGACAGGGTTCTCAGTGAGGGATCACTGCTTATTAGGAGATGGGGTATAGAAAACAAATAAGGGCCTTCCCCCAAACAAGCAGAAACCATCAGCAGAACCCGGGGCTGGACTCAAGGACTGCCTCCCCGGTATTATAGGGCTGAAGGAGACGGCAACGGGTGGAAAATTCACTCTTGGGAAAGTTGCTTATCTGCCCAACAAACAATTGTTTATTGTAGAAAATAAACCGTTGAGCAAGATAGGTGTGGTCCTGGTTGGAAAGAGAGGCAGACAGACAATTCTAAACCTGTGTGATAAAGTTCAGGGTGCTATGGCGAAAAAGAGAAGGGGAATCTAAATTAGATTTGGTGGGGCTGGGAGGCTGAAGAAAAGGAGGATGGATGCTGAGGCTTGAAGGATGAGTTGTGTGAACTGAAAGAAGGATCGGGGAACAAGGGAGGATATCCAGGTGGAGGGAAGGCATTGTTGAGAAGCCTGGGGCAGACACGCAGGAGGGAGAGGAGCTACAAAGCCCTAGAATTAAATAGAGTTCATCAGGAGAGGGTCTTCTAAACTCCTCTGTAACCTGGAGATTTTCCTAAAGGCCCTGGAGAAGCTAAGACTGGCTACATAAGTTGTGGACCTCAGTGTAAAGTGAAAGCACAGGACTCTTGTTCAAATACTGAAACTTTCAAGATAGTGACAGCACAGCATTAAACCAAACATAGAGGCCTTCCAAACTAGGCCTGCTCTGTGACTGCACGGGTTCCAGGTCGCTGGGCTGGCTCTCGGGGAGGGAACTGCTGAAAGGTTGCAGGCAGATTGGCAAGATTCTGAATAGGCCAATAGTGAGCTCCCTGACAATCTCCAACAGAGCCACCTCAGAGGAGGTAGGTTGAGTTGAACAGAGAACTACTTGCACAAGCAGATTTGAGTTCTGACCCTTCCCCCACCCTTGGCCCAACTCTGCCACCATGTGCATTCATGCGTTCAGGAACTCAGGGTGCGGAAAAGATTTTTCAGAGTTGTTTTACGGTGCGTGTGATCACTGTGTCTCTCCTAGTGAAGTGGGCAGCTTCATGGAGAGGTAAGCAGTTACCTCTCAATGAGAGGAAAAGAATGTATTAGCACCATACTGGTGTCTGTGCCAACGAGTTGTTTTGTTTGCTTGTTTGTTACCAGAGAAGAAGAGAAGTAAGGGGGTCAAATATATGGAAGGAGACTAAACTTTGATGAGAGCACAAAGCCGTATACAGATGATGTAGTATAGAATTGTACACCTGACTCTTATATAATCTTATTAACCAATATCACCCTAATAAAGTTAGAAATAAATAAGTTAATAAATAACTAAGTAAATTTTAAAAATCCCATCCATTTATGAGCAGAAAGCTTATGGGTGGTTAATGGCGCATGGATTCAAATGTGAAGAATTAACAGGAAAATCAAGGAAAAAATGGAGAAAATTTTCCACTTAGTACTTGAAATCTATAAAAATAACACATACTTTTTTCCCCAAAGGCCCAGGTCTTCCAACACTCCCCTTAGGTCCCATTAGCCCAGGAGGACCCTGGAAGAAAATGGAAAATGGAAATGTTGGCACGGCAGCAATTCTTCGAAAGCCCATTAGATCCGCTCTGCTTTTCTTCAAGTCATTTCAACAACTTCTTGATGCTTTTTTAATGAGGAACCCAGTCCCCCAGGGGAGAGACATATCTGGGCTGAAACCAGATGACTCAGGCTACAGGCCTGGTAGGAGAACCACAAGCCGTCATCTGCGGGGACACCACTGTCCTTCTGGAGCCTCAGGAGAAACAGAAAAGGTGCCTTGGACTCAATACACATTATTTCTGAATGTGGCAAATTTCTTGTAATGCACTGATTTTGTTAGAACAAGATACTGTGCTGTCATTGGCACATTCGTGCACTGCATCGTGCGCACACACACACTCAACAGTGTGTTGAATGTGTTTCAGTTTCCCAATTTGAAAGTGGACAAAAATGTCTCCCACAAACGTGCGAGGAAGAGAACTGAGCAAGCGCTGGTATCCCTAGCCTTCTGCACTCTCACCAGCTGAGCGGAAGAATTGAACAGATTCAGAACATTTTTCATACAAATCCCTCACCATCCAAACTCTCATTACTCATTGTCAGAAACTGAGGAACCAAATAGATTCAGTGGGTGAATTCAAAGCTGAACTTGGGAATTAAATAAATCTGAGTAGTAAGGGATCTCTTTCGAGGCAATTTCAAATATCTACAGTCAATGGAAATATGCATGACCCAGGGAATTTTTAAAAGTTAGAAAAACCAGAATAATGCATTAGGTTTTGAAATGTCCATGAGTAAGCAAGATTTGTACCCTTCCAAATGTTTTCTGCAGGCTGATACCATGGGGCTGTGCTTTTTGAGTAAAGCTCCAGTGAAGGAGAAAGAGGAGCGCTTCAGTTATGCACAAGGGTTCTGAGCTATGCTAAACATTTGTCCCAAATTTGTCCCAAGTTAATTCAAAAATGAAATACTTGCTATGTAGATCATATAAAATAAACTATATATGAAGATGTTTCTGAATGAAGGCAAAATAAAGATTGGAGACAACTGACTAATGTTTCCGACTCACTCACCTGAGGTCCTTTATGCCCTTGGCTTCCCTCCGCTCCTTTCCTGCCAGGAATTCCATTTAACCCCTTTTGTGGTAACAAAAGAAACACAGTGCAATGAAGTGAATGAGAGCTTACTTTCTTCAAGCATGCTTTTAAAACACTCTCAAGCGGAAGCATGGAAAAGCTACGGTCTAACCCTTCAAGCAGCCTTTTAACTCTGAGATTAAGCATTGCTTAGAAAGGAACTGAGGAGAGACCCAGCCTCAGGGGTACAGATCTTACTGAGGAGCCCTCAGCTCGGGTTAAAGACCTTCATTCCTCTCTGAAAGGGAGAAATGAAAAAGAGAGTAAAGAGAGAAATTAAACCCATAAAAAAAGGAAGTCAGACACAAACAATGGTCAAATAGCTCCTTTTATGGTGCAGGTTCCCTGGGCCATTAGAAGTGCTTTCAATGTGTAAAATAGAAAGCAAAGTTATTCCAAGTTAGCAGAAAAGGGCACTTGAGCAGAGACCCCATCAGAGGAATTAAAGCACATTTTCTGCCATATTTACCATCAAATACTTGGTTCTCATATGGTTCTATTAGAAGGAAAACCAGAGGTACTGGTAATGTTTCTCACTATTTAAGAACCAGCTATAAAATGGCCCCGGCTGCCCTGGGCAAATAGTGGTTGGAGCCACTGGGCGAGCCTGGTTCCCTGCCCAGGTATCGGAGGACCCTGAATTAGCTGAGGGAACATCATGGCTCTCCTCCTCAGGAGGCCTGGCCGGGGAGCTACACTGGTCCCGTGGTTATTTAATCTAGAGGATCTGCTACCTGGTGGCTTGGCTTAGGGACCCCAGAATGACTTAAGAAAATCCTAAATTCCAGTTTTGCATTAATAACTTGGAACTTTGTAGAAAGTTCCAGGAACTTTGTAGAAGAAAAATGAACTCTTGGGAAGGTTTTAGAATGGACCCATCTATACAGACCTTTCCAGACAAGTTCTGACTTCAAGTGGACTCCATATGGTGACTAAATACCTCCATATTACAAAACAATTCTCTTGGAATGACCCTAGCCTCTTTCTCACATGGAAGGGAGAGAGACATGCCTTGACTCTGATGCCCATTTCACTAATAATATAACTAAGAAAAAATACAAATGGCTCACATAAAGCCATCTCCGGGGAATTCTAAAAGCACTGTCACCCTCGATGGAGCTCGCTGTAGGTGAGTTGAATAACAGCTTCCAATTCCCAACTTGCTCTCATGGATGTCTGACTGCAGGATCTCAGTCAAGGAAAACCAATTTGTTGATCCTGATATTGGTTACTAACATAACATTAAGGTCTTAATAATTCATTATTACTAACATACAGACATAACACCAGGTGGGCACAAGAGCATGCCTGTGTCAGTGAACTGCAAGCATAGGAGTAGGTTATATGGAGCAAAACCCCCCGCCAAGATGGGAAATGGAGATTCTAGAGACATGCACCATGGGGCCAGATTAAAAATTTCTTATTTATTTTTATACAGAATGACTTGCCATCTTCCCATCAGAATAACTCAGCATTATTTACCAATATTTATTAAATATTCCAACATACCTGCGGGCCTTGTAATCCTTCAGCTCCCTGTGTACCTGTAGGTCCAGGATCCCCCGGCTCCCCCTGATGAATGAGAGTTTTCAGTATAAAGGTTTTCTCCACATAGTTCCCATCTAGAACTTTTCTTTAGAGTACCTAGTATTACGGTGCACAAAGGTTGTTTCTTATTCTAGGAAAGAATTTTACTGTATGGCAGTCCATTCCCAGTACATGTAAAAAGCACTCATGTGCACAGCACTTGGGATTGTATGGGTCCCCTTTGCTATGAAGTGTCTGTGAAGAGGGCTTTGCCTTACATCAGGCCTCTCCTGTTCCTGGCAGTTGAACTGATCTTCCTCCCCGTTCCCCATCAGGGGGGATTATGTCCAAAGCTTGCACTTCCTACAACATTCTTGTCAAATGCTTGCTCATTCCCAGTGCATTTGCGCATGAGAATCTCCTTGGCCTCATCTACCAGAGAACAGGAAACAGAGGATACTCACCGGGGCACCATAGTGCCCTCTTTGGCCTTCTCTTCCCTGGAAGAGAAAAAAACAAAGTGTTAGTGTATGGGTGCCTGGATGGAGGTTCCTTAGAGAAAAATCAGCCTGTCTCGTTCTCTGATAGACATATAAGTAAGAAGCAGCTCAAAGTCATGGCTGCCTTCGGGCACTTACCAGAGATGAGTTTTCACACGAGGCACTTAATTGTGAATTAACATTTGGGGGATTGATCGCACACCAGTCTAACAGCCATTGCAGACCCAGCTTTAGTCTGCTGCAAACTTCTGATGATTATCCAGGGGGCCATTTGGAGAATCAAGACATCCTGAGGAACTTGCCTTCTTCATTTCCTCTCTGGCACATTCCAGAAAGCACTGTCTGCTAATCAGAGGCTTCCTGTGTGAAAACAACCCGTGCCACACCCGTCCCTCCATCCTACGCCCCAGACTGTGTCTTGGGGGAGAATAAAAACCTTGTTAGATACAGTGCTTCCTGTGGGATTCTACATGGAGGAAATGGCTGATGGGGTCTGTTCAACACTGTTGTCATTCAGTGGCACCTCCAGGTTCATCTGAGAAAAGCCGTGCTGATCTGAGGCTGAAATCAGTCTGCATTTATCCAGAAGCGATTCCGAATTGCCGGTTCATGCTCTCCACCTAGTGGCTGTCTTTGCCACACCCTCTCTTTTCCAGAGGGCAGCCACACTGGGAGATGGCAGTTCAGGCCCCAGCTCCCACCTTTTCTCCTAAACAGTAACAGCAAGTTCTGCACCCTCACCTCCTTCACCTACCACCCCTGTCTCTTTGAAAGAGCCATGGAACATCTCAACCATCAATTTACTTAGTGCTGTGATAACTATGATTACTTTAGGTACAAAACAATATTTTTAAAAATTTCATTCATCCTTCCATTCATTCATTCATTCATAAAGGCAGCCATGGAAATTATCATTTCAAAGGGGTGACCAACTTCTGAAGTTCCTGAGAATAAACTGTCTGACCAAATATCACCTCCACTAGGTGGGCTGGTGATTAGAATTCCCCCATTGAGGTTGCTTCCCTTAATTCGGGTACTATTTGCTTTTATCGTTTTTTTTGTATTCATTCAAGTTTTTTTTATTTTTATTCTATTAAGGTTGTCCCAACTTTTCCCCCTTTGTCCTCCTCTGCCCAGTCCATCCTCCCCTGGCCCGCCCCCCCCCCCCCGGCTCCCACAGTCAGTCCCCACACTGTTGTCCCTTGTCCATGGGCCATTCATACAATTCTATGACTAGTCCCTTCCCCTTCTTTCTACAATTATCCCCCTCTCCGCTCCCCTCTGGCTGCCACAGTCTGTTCCTTGTTTCCTGGCCTCTGGTTCTATTTTGGTACTCTTTGCTTTTAAAATGCAAATACACTTTGGGAGAAGTTCAGCATTGTTAAGTTGTCAGCTCTTTGTACCTTGATGTGACTGACTAATAGAGCTTTTCACATAGGAAAGCAAAGAAGAAACAGTAAAGAAAGGCTGAGGCCACTATTTCCCTGATGTCTTAATTCTGTCTCCATTAAAAAGGAAGGACGAGGTAGCATTTGTTCCGTGTTCAGAAAATGCGGTACAATGGTTAGGGGCAAGTCCCTAGAAGTCAGGCAGTCTTGAGCTCAACCTTGCCCTTTATAGCCTGCATGGCACAGAGCATTTGCACAATAAACTTTTGTCAGGGTGGTTAGGAGCCCAGACTCTGGAGAAAAGAGGTTACAAAGGAAGAGACAGATGGGTGGGGAAGTGGGTGAAGATGAGGGAGGGCAGCGGAGAAACTCCTGCCCTTGGAGTGACCGGCAACAGCGAGTCTCAGCCTTTCTCATCTCCTGGCACACATGAGCTAATTACTCAAGTTCTGCACAACACCAAAAATACAGCGTCTGGCACAAATAATGCCCTCTTTTTATTACAAAATCTTTTATTACAAAATCATAAGCATGTGATTCTGTAACATAAGAATATCATACTCAAGCACACTATATGACATTTTAGGAGAAATGTTCAACTTAAAACTATAAATTATTACAACCATATCATTACCCTACCAACCACAATCAAGCAGGCATTGCTTCTGCCAGACCCTGTATATCATATTTTTTGCCCATCTGACAAAAAATAGGTATAACTTTGATTGATTTAAAAATAATAACAATAGTAATTACCTACCCTTTTGCTCCAAACTGACTTTTTAAAAAATCAAGTGTCTATACCTGTATATAAGGATTTCTGGTACCAAGAATTAACCAATCAGATGCAACTTTATTATGCAACATGTCCAATAAGATGTGACTCTATTATATGACCTATATAGTTATGGTTCAAGACAGAGCATTCACACCAGATGGCTATTGTTGTGTTGACTGTTTTCATTTTTTAATTTGACAGTCTAAGGGGAAAGAGGTCGTTTCCCCTGACTAAATAGTCAAGCATTGCATGTTTTAAAAATTCATGTGGCAAGCCAGCTGAAAATTGCTGACTTGGAGGAACTGGCTGGTACTTCTAAGTAGTCATCCCCTGCCCCAAACTGAGCACCTCTTTTTAAAAAAGTAACCTATAATAGTGTCAACAATAAAAATAAAGTTAAATTTAAAAATAAAAAATAAATAAATAAAGCCTTGAAAAAAAAAATGCCTGATAGTGACAATTATAAAGTGATTTCAAACAAAGTATTTTCTTTTAAACCAACAAAAATACACATTTAGCTTTTGAATTTATAGCATTTAGCTTATCTCGCTGCTCTCTCCTTTCTTCTGATTAATTTTATTTCTCTTCCATGGAAAAGAGGGAAAAGTCCCAAAGAATTCTACCAGAAGCACTGGAAGCCTGGCCCATCCTGCTCTAGCTCGTTTCCCTCAAGAACTATGATCCAAGATAAACAAAGGCAAGAGAAAATTAAAACACACTTATCCGCTATCTTCTCTGGAGAGAAAAACGGTCAACCACAGCCTTCAAAGTGATGAGAAGATTCCAAGATTGCAATAGAAAAGAAAGCCAAGTATTTTCCATTCCCTCTTGAACAAAATTCAGGGCTATATCTAGGACATTGTATGTTATTCCGTTTTTATGATCTCCATGCTGAGCATGTGATAAAGGGGTATGAATATTATCTTTAACTTTAGTAGTCCACAGAGAGGAAAGTGGTTTCTTGGTTGTTCCTTAAAAAGAAGGGAAAATCTAATATCATTGTTTCAGGCTTGATATCACATGACGTGGTATAAAGTTACACTAGGATCTTGAGTTTGCCACTAATTGCCAGTATTTGGATTCATTCAGGAAGAATTTACCTGTGTTTCTTCTTTCCCCTGGCCATATATGGAGAGCATCTACCCAGTTTGTTATATTCTTATATCAGCTCAAAATGCTAAGCTGCTGGAGGGAGGGCTTTTGTGTTAAAGCCATTGACTCTCTTCAAAGACATTCAAAAGCTTTCAGGAAGCAGAAAGGGACAAGCAAATTGTGTCCCAGTAGTTCTCAAATAGGGGCACTTTGCCCCCATCCCACCCTCCATGATCCACCACGAATATCTGCAGACATTTCTGGATGTCACAGCTTGGGGGGAGGAGATGCTACTGGCATCAAGTGGGCGAAGACCAGGGACACTGTGAAATGTTCTCTAATGCCAGGACAGCCCCTCATAACAAATTATCTGGCCCAAAATGTCAATAGTGCCAATGTATCAGCCCTGGATCAGCTGACTCTACAGCAACAGATATTCTGAATGCCTCTGTGGCATCTTCAGGTGATAAGGAAGGGAAATAAATGTCCACAAAAATACTTACCCTGTTTCCTCTGGAACTAGGATTGCCTTGTATCCCTTTCAATCCGGTTCTGCCCTAGAAATACAACAGTTCCTCAAAATCAAAAAGCAAAAGATTCTAAATAAATGACAAAGGCATCAGCATCAAAACCTCAAGCACTATTAAAATAGCAGAACTAAAGGATCACACTAGAATCTTTCTGCCTATTCACACTATCGGGTATATATCCAGTCAAGAGGAAAATAGTACAGCAGCATGCGTTGCTACTCCCAGTTTCCCCATATATCACCTGCTAGAATCATCATAATTTTGCCTAAAGAAGTGTAACCTACTACAAACATAAGGCACTTTTCAATGCGAACTTAAGAGTATTTGTTCAGTTATAGATGGATTACATATTTTACTAAATAATTTAGACTTTATGAAAGCCTCAGCTCAGTAGCAGAATTAATCAACACATGTAAAACAGATGAAATTACTTGTCCTCCTTGTTCTCCTTTGGAACCCTTTGGTCCTTGGATGTTATTGTTTTGTCCGGGATCACCCTAGAGGAAGATTTAAAAAGAATTTCAGAATAAAAAAAAATTAGATTTTTTTTTTTTTTTTTTTTTGTAAAATGGTACAATTTTCAAGTACTAAGGTAACTTGGATTAAGTGATGAGGGATGTGAGAAAATCCTCCATGTTTGAAACTCATAGATTTTTGAAAAAATGAAAGTAGCAGATCCCCAAGTTTGAAGGGGGCTTGGTGATAAATGATGAATCATTAGAGCGCCTGCCAAAGCCATGGCAAATTCTCTTTCTCTGGGTTGGCAGCTTCACTGTTTCACTTGTCCAAACATGCTTATGCCACTCTCTCAAGCCTGTAGTAAGATTCCCCTCTAATCAGGTCTACAAGAAGGGAATCTGTGAGAATAGAAGCCCAAAAAGGGAAACTATGGGAATTTCCCCTCCAAAAGAACTTGAAAGTTTCAACATACCATAGGATAAGATGGAACTTTAGTTCTCAGTTCTGAATTTTGTATGTAATCAGCCTAAATCAGATGCAGATTTTGCCCAAACAAATACGTCTTGGTCAGCCTACCTTCCCAACTCCCAAAAAACCATTTGACTGCAAATTAGCAAGAGATGCAAGGGAAAGAAAATAAGAACAATGAGAAATTCAGAGCCAGCTGGGCCCTAGTAACTTACAGGATCCCCTGGGAAGCCCTTTGCCCCATGTTCCCCAGGGGGGCCTCTGGAACCTGGGCTGCCCTGAAAAAATAAAATGAGTTTCTGAGTGAGCTTGTAGGAGGGTTTTATAATGACATTAAAATGTCGAGTGTTGTATGTATGTTTGGAGGGGAGGAAAACAGTCAGATTAAATGATCCATGGTCTTTTGCCCTCAGACTTCTCTGGCAGAACCCAGTCTAGTTTTAAGCCAATGGTTGGGATGATTGGTGGTGAGGATGAGAAATGGGAAACATCCTCATAGTCTAGCAGAGCGGTGTCCAACAGAACTTTTGGCAGTGATGGAAATGTTCTGTATCTGCACTGTCCAATATGGCAGCCGCTAGCCATGTGAGGCTACTGAGCACACAAAATGTCGCTAGTGCAACCAAAGAGCAGAATTTATCACTTTAATTAATTTGAATTTAATACTCACATATTGCTACTGGGTACTGTATTAGACATCCCGCCCAGTCTAGCAACTTCTGGCATCTATAATTAAATTACCAACTGGAAACCTCTACAGGAGTGTTCCATTCTTACCTCAAACTCATTTTTTTCCAACTGAATTTGCCCATGCCAGGATCTTTACAAGCATTTGGACTGACTCCTAATTTCATTCTCCTCTAGTCACCTAGACCAGGAACTCTTATGTCCCAAAGCCAGAACTAGGATAAAATAAGCAAGTCACCTATGGTGCAAAATCTAGGAAAGCACTCTCTGTGCATAATGACGGCTTCCCTAAATTTTGCACCCTTGGCACTCACTTCACTGGGGGCTCTGCCATGTCCTCAACATGTTCTGTTTCTGTTCTTATGGTCATTGCTTTACTTGAAGGCTTCCTCACTTCTCACCTTGATTCTTACAGCTTTGCCTCTCATCTTTGCTTTGCTTCTATGTCATCTCCAACACATTCTCCACACTACTGCCAAGTAATAGTTGTAATGTGGAAATCAGCTGCGATCCTCCTGCTTAAAATCTGTCAAAGACTCCCAAGTTCCTAATGGTTAAAAGCTCAACTCATCCTCATGGCTGACCAATGCCTTCCCAGTTTCTTCCCACCACCTCTTACACCTGACCTCCCTCTACCTCTACTCCAATACTCCCACCAGGCAGAGCAACTGCAGTGTCCCCAAGCCTCCTTGAGTTTGCTTATGCAGTTCCCTCTGGAATGCCCTTCCTCCATGTTTTGCTAATCCCTATTCATCTTCAGCTCAGGAACCATTTCCTCCAAGGAGATTTCCTGAACTCCTTTGCCACCCTGCTGGATTAGGACCCTTCTCTGGACTCCCATGCAGATGCCTGCAATATGGTTCCAATCACATTCTGGGTTGCCGTAAGCTGTCGATATGTCTGTCTCCCCAGCTACACTGTAGAATTCTTGAGGGCAAGGACAGTGTGGTTCATTTCTGGTTATTTTGGTTAACTTAGTGCCTGTCACACCCTAGGTAATCAAAAATATTTGATAAATAATACGTACCAGAACATAAAAACAGCTGCTTGGAACCAAGTAGGCACATATTAATTAATGTTACTGAAGTGAATTTAAAACTAAAAAATGTTTCACTGTGATTTGCTATACCAAGGCCACCAAAATAATTTTGTTTCTTTCTCTTGCCATTTTTTTTTTTTTTCTGATGCAATGAAGAGAACATGAAAACTGCTGACAGGCAAAAGCATTCTTTTTCAGGCTTCTGAAAAGCATGCCCATAGAGGATCTTTGCATGCCTTGAAATTTTTAGCTGGAAATTCTTGGAAATCACAGTTACCCACTTGCTCCAAACTGGAATACAGCACCTATTCAGTGTTAATATGCTTTCATTATGTAGCTGAGTCAGCTGTCAGTTTTACCCCTAATAATCACGGACAGACACACAGCAATTAAGACTCTCTCTATCACCAAGTTCTCCTGCTCTGATATATTAAAAAGTGTTACCTCAGATCCTGGATCACCTTTTTCTCCCTTTTCTCCAGGAAATCCATGAAAGCCCTATAAGAAGGCAAGGAAAATAAAATTCTCCTTTAAAAAAAAATATATATATATATCAACCTCATGGTGATTTTTATGGTCCTTAAAGAAAATGGCTTACCTCTTCCCCATCGAGTCCATCAATTCCATCTTCTCCCTTTTCTCCCTGAGAGACAACCAGGAGCAGCAATCAGGCAAAGAGATCTCTGCCACATGCTTATCAGGAGACACCTTTCATGAGGACATGCAATTTGAGAAGAAAGTACAGTACCTTATATCCAGGAAGTCCTCTGGCTCCCTGTAAAAGAGTAAACATCTCTCAATGACATATCAGAGACAGAATGTGGATCCTTGGCTGTTGAAGTAGGGAGGGCTGCCTCCCTCAAGACAGGGATTGTGCATTTCTTTAGTTGCCCTTGACTCTACAGCCACAAAGAGGTTATAGAAAGAATTTACTGCTCAAAACCACTTGAGATTACTAATAGAAATAATCTGCAGATGATAAGACTAGCATGTACTTGGATAGAGAGAAAGAGGGAGGAGAGATAAAGACAGGAAAGGAGGAGGGAAAGGAATGAAGGACAGCAGGCAAGGACACTGTGGAGAATTTAAAATAACATTTCCAACTGAGCCTTACCTTTTGACCTGGCTGCCCTGGACATCCCGTAATCCCTTTATCTCCTGGGGGTCCAGTTTCTCCTCGAGTTCCCTAAGAGGAGGTACCCAAAGAGATATCCAAAGTGATTCTTTTGCTAAAAGTTGCCAGCAGTTAACTTCTTCAGAGTGAAGCTAGAGCACAAGGGCACTCTGAGGTTAACACAAACAAATCCTCCTATGAACTCATTCATTTAACTCTGTTTTTCCCCTCTATTCAAACTTTTTCCCTGTCAACCTCAGGGTTTCGCTTCAGATCCAATATCACACCAAGGTGCAGATGAGCTCAGCCACTTTATGGCTTCATCATGCAGCAAAGCCGAGGGTTGGGAAATCCAAACACACAGGTAAGACATCCCACCCTGACCTCTTGTCCAGGACCTCAGTGCTGCCCTGGAAAAGTGAGCATGGCTATGGTACAGAAGCAAGCCCATGCCAGGGGACTGGGGTTGATAGAAGCAGCTGATGGGAAGTGACACTATTCTAAGCCAGTGGCTCATAGGAAGGCCCACCAGATTATAGATCCCAAATGTCTGACCAGCCACGTAGGAAGAATACTCAGGGTCTGATGTATACATTTCCCCCAGTCCTGCTTCTGCCAGGAAATACTTAAATACAGGTCAAAGCTAGAGTAAAGTGAATCTCAGGAAGAACAATGGTCTCCTGGAGGGCATGATCCCTGACCGCCTCTTTCACCTCTGTGTCCTTTATGCCTGGCTCGAATCTGGGCGCAAAGCAGGTGCTAAAGATTTACTGTATGGATACATAATTTTTTAGCAATGATCTTAATTCTCTCCTTCCTTGTTGGTAAAAGGAGAAATGATTTTCCTTTCCCCTGTTTTGCTTTCTGTATTCTGAGGATTACTCCCAGTAAAGTAGGAGACCTGGCCAATGGCCACAGGTTGCTGAGAAGAGCTTACACATTCCAGCTTCCCATTGACTGGACTCTCAGCCAGCTACAGGCTCAGGGCCAGGTGGCAGGCATGACATGAGTCCCCACACTCAAATCCCTCTATGCTAACTGGGTGGGCTCCAGGACATCTCTGTAGGTACCAGGGAGGTGGTTTACAGCATTCCTCCAAGTGTTCATTTTGTAAACTACAGTCTTAGAGGACTTTCTAAATGTTTACAGATGAGGAGACAGAAGGTCAAGAAGTTCATTCATTGTCTTGTTAAGGTTTCATATCTAGGTCAGCCCTTGACTGTCTGCTCTGGAGGCTGTGCTTTTAATCATAACTTACTTCTGAGATGAGGAGCTGGCCTTAATTCTAAGGGGTCAGAGATGCAGGCGGGATGCTTCCTGAACATTTCCCACTCCCCATGGAGCAACCCATGTGATTTCAGTTTCTCTAAATCCATTTTCAATATTTGATTGATGAGCCAAATGAGAATTCTGGTCACAGGGTCAAAACCAGAGTGAGATGTGAAAATCTCTGTGAACCGTGTAACCATGATTCCACTCTTTGGGGTGCTCTGCCTGCTTCCCTTTCCATGTACTAAGAACTCCATGGGGGTAGAGAGGAGCACACCCAGCTCCCCACCACTGAGAAAAGCCTGCCGGAATCACATAGGTAAGCTTGCTCCCTCCCCTCCCCTGAAATAGGTTTAGCAAGTGCCTGTGAGTCAGACAAGAAAAAAGAAAAGAAAAGCAACCACTTATTTTCCCCAAAACTACAAAATACACACACACACACACACACACACACACACACACACACACACACACACACACACCCCCCCCACAACCACTTCTCCTATAGGAAAATAAAGCTCTCTATAAAAAACAGAATCATGTGTGGGGGGGGGGCGGTAAGTCACAAAAACTTACAGGATCTCCATCATCTCCCCTGTGTCCTCTGGTGCCTTTCAGACCTCGAGAACCCTGGGAGGAGAGAAAGCAAATAAATAAGTTTTAGCCATCTTCCATCCATTCGAACTTGTGAAATCATTGGGCATTTTAGGTAAATTCTTCCCTCCACCATGTTTGTAGTTTTTGCAGCTGTGGCTGTGAGTTCGAGGAGAGGCTGACAACCTCTGCAGGTGGACTTGGTCCTTGCAGCCGCCTCTAGAGGCCTCTGCAAAAGGTGGCCCTCCCAATACCTAGGGGAGACCGGCCTTTGGAATCCCCCTTGCAAATCGGAGTGTCAGGGCGAGTCCTGCAACTCTGATTTGCTGCCCAGACAGCCGGTGGCTGCCACAATTCTTTCAGCAGGCAAATCAATAACATGTCCCAACAGATCATTTTATTTTCTTCTGCTTTTTTGAGAGCTCAAGGAAGAATAAGCACTTCTAACAAGGAGGTTACCTGTATTTAAATAGCAACTATCTCTCCCTCCGTCCTGTGTGGTTTAACTGCCTCAAGGCTTATTTGTAGCAAGGATTTCAGCGGAGGTTTTCTTTCCTCCTCCTCTAACACAGACCCTAGCTGTCTGCTCAGTATACCAGGGGAGTTGTGCTCTCGGAATAAAACTCTAATCCTGATCTGAGCGAAATAATGAGCGAGGAAACTGTGCTAAACAAAATATCATAACTCAGTAAAATGTCCAAGGTCAATTATCCTTTCACAAGCGTAGACAATGCTGGACTCAGGAACAAGCATTGTAATTGATCTCTTAAAATAAAACAAACCAGACTCTTCTCATTGTGACCTTTAAAACCCATTTGAAAAGGCACTAGAAGTAAACACAATTTCAAGGTACAGCTTAATTATAAACATCTGAGTAGCCACCAGCAGACCACGAAAGAGGACATGGATGGTCCCCAGGCACAGTGCCCATCCTAATCACAAGCCTTTCTCACCCCCACCCCAGGGAGACCACCCCTGTCTTTTATGAGACTACTTCTCTGCCTTTTTAAATATTCCACTATTTAAATATTCATCCCTAGATACTACAGGTTAACTTTGTCTGTTTTCAAAAATTTTATAAATGGAATCATATCATATGTATTCTTCTGCATTTTTTTGTTTGTTTGTTTGTTTGGCCATTACTGTGTTTGTAAAATTTATTCATGTGTGAGTAGCTGCTGTCCATCCATCTTCAATCCTTTAGAGCATTCCATTGAATGAAAATACCATGATATATTTATCTATGCTATTGTTGTACAATTGATCTTTTATCATTTGTTTTTTAAAGGGCTATTAATCTGCAATGCTGTATTCTTTTTGCAGTTCAATCACATTCCATTGCTGATGAAGTACAACTTTCCTCACTATTTCTAACACCTCTTGCCACCGTTTAAAATTTTATTAAATTTCTTGGAGTGACACTAGTTAACAAGATTATGTAAGTTTCAAGCATACCATTCTATGATACATCATCTGAATATTGCATTGTGTGTTCACCACCCAAGTCAAGTCTCCATCATCACGTATTTGACCCTCTTTATCTGCTTCATCCTTCCCACCACCTCCCTTCCACTCTGATAATCACCATATTATGGTGCCTGTGTTAATGAGCTTTTTTTGGCTGGGTCACTTGTTGCTTTCTATTTTAGATCTGACACATGAGTTAAATCATATGGTTCTTGTAACTGCATGGGAAAAGATATTTGTGAATTATACCTCTGATAAGTGGCTAATATTCAAAATATACAGAGAATTTATATAACTCAACAACATCAAAAATCAGACAACCCAATTTAAAAATGAGCAGAGGACTGAACAGACACCTCTCTCCAGAAGATATATAAATGGTCACCTTTCAAACTGTCTAAAGCAGGTAAAAAGTATACATTTCAAAATCAAGACACAATATTACCAAGGAGACAGGAGAGAAAAGAGAGGTAGTCTTAATAGCAGTATCAAAAGTGACCCCTTCTGAACTGGCTCCTACACCACAGAAGTCACACAAAATGCCCAAGGCAATTATATCAGCAACAAATGAAGGTGGCAGATTTAACTGCTCATCCTCAGCCCCACCCACACCAAACCAAGGCCCATTAAGTAAAAAATAGCTTCAACTCAATGACACCTTTGAGCCTTGTAATCCTTGGGTCCCATGAGGTCCTGGAGTCCCTGGACACTTGCAAAATGTACAGCAGCACTTCCTCTCTGCAATGTTTTCCTGGAAAAAGCAGAATTGAGTGAGCACAATTGTCAGGAAATTCAGTATGTATGAACTGTATTCTAACAAATCATAATCCACCACCCATAAGCTCATGCTTTCCCTTTGGTTGAGGGTCTACAAAGAATAAGAGGTGCTTTTGACCAAACACCTTAGAGAGGGGACAAGGTTAGCAACTGTGTTGGCAACAAACCCTCTCCGAGGAAATGGCCACTATTAATAAGAAGGATGCCTGCCACATAGCTGACCACAGACAAAGTTTGTACAAGGCTGGTTGGTTCCTAGTTGACAGGTTCCTGTTTCCTGGGATTTCAGTAGCATAAACTGTTGGTAGCTTTTCTTATTTGATTAGGATTGGTGGTTTTCTGGTTCCCTATGCATTCATTTGGTGAAATAACTAAGACGAAGGGACATGCAAAAACAAAAATGCAGTGTTCTGGTCTTTCACACTTTTTTATATACTAAAGTCCATGTGCTGAACTTAGGGCTAAAGGGAACTCTTTGGAAATATTCAGCAAGATTCCAATTTTGCTCCCATGGCATTTTGGATAACTAGATTTTTTGGTTCAAAAACTCACCAGATATTGTGATAGTGTTTTGCCCAGATCTCTCTTTCCAATGGTCAGATGAGTCCTGTAGTCAAATCCTTTTCCAAATTCAAAGCTGGAAAAATCATCAGCAGCAGTTGGATTTAGGGACACTACCAGTAGAGCATCAAGTCCTGTATAGTAAAAATGACAGATACAAAACCAAAGAAATTGTTCACAAAAAAGAAAAGAAAAACCACACAGTGAACATTATTCAAAGAATCAGAAAGGGAGAAGAAAACATAAGAGGAAGCAGTACTCTTGACACATGAAGAATTCAACAGCAGGTTTGCCTACATTGTCAATATACACACTACTCATTGATTCCTGACTGTAGCATGAAATCTCCCAAGAAAAAGTATTTAAAAATCTTCTAACAGAAAATTGTTTAATATCTTACCACCAATTTTAACACAATTCTTAGGCATTTGAAAGCAATTTTTAAGAAAGGGCAATGTCCTTTCTTATCTTCAGAGTTTTTCTGAATTTGACCAAATGTGAGTTAATGATATTTCTCAAGTGCTCTCTATTTCCAAAGACCCCTGGGAGCCCAGGCCCTGAGAGCCTGAGGAAAGCCCAGGGTAATTTCAGTCTTGGCTGAACCTTGGCCACACCCAGGAGTTCATTTATTCACTCATTCATTCACTTACTTATTAATTCATTCACTAGTTCATTTACTCTATCCATCCTTCATTAAACAAATCCTTGCTTATTAGGAGCCTGTTATGTACTAATCGTTGTACCAGGGATACAAGAGGAATAGGATAGGCATGCTCCTTCCCTTTGCAGAGGTGTGGTATACTGGAAGAGGTGGACAGAAATCAGATATTTGCTCTGAGAAGTGACAAGTGCTGAGAGGGAATGTCAGGGTGCTATGAAAGCCTAAACGAGAAGCTCCTAACTCAGTTTTGGAAGGTCATGGAAGGTTTCTGCAAAGAACTGATATCTAAGCTGTTCCTAAAAAAACTAATGGAAGTTGGTCAAGAAAATGAACCAGAGGTTCAAGGTGGAGAGAAGATGGGGAGCGGGACGGGGCGGGGGGGGGGTGGGCAGTGGTGGCAGAGCTGAGAGTGGGAAAAGTGCTAGGCAAAAGAGAAGAGTATATGCAAGGACTGGGAGGTTGGGGCTGTGAGGTACATTGCAGGAAAGATGGATCAGGTTCTGTATACCTGTTACATTGTGCATGAAGAGAGAGGTATAGCTGGAGTGGGGGCACAGGGCCAGATCTTGCAAAGTATCATGGGCCATACTAAGGAATTTCATATCCCAAGATCAGTGGGAAGGGGTTGAAGGAATATGAAAAGGGAGGGTGACATAGCACAGCAATAAAGCAGGAAATTTTGTGGCCTTTAAGGAGGCTGCCCATGGAAGCAGAACCCCAGAAGCCAGTATGGGCCTACATCCAGGAAGTCTCAAATGAGGTACCCTGATCTGACAATCAGTAGAGCCTCTTGTCACTGCTTATTACTCTCAACTTCCGCATTTAGCTTCTGGCTCAGCCTGAAACTATTACATGAACAGGGAATATCCAGCAAGACACGCTTTTCAAAATCCATGTGGCCATCTTTCATGTGAAAAATAAAAAATAATAGAAAATGTCTTAGGTCAGGTTCTCAAGAAACAGAATTTGAGAGAGGAATTTGTGTGTATGTAGTTTACTGAGGGAGAGAGAGAGAGAGTGAACAAAGTGAAAGGGACGTGGTCAACGATGGTGTGTCTCAGTGACGTCTTCACCTTAGCATAATTCATGAGAGAATAAATTGTATCAGAGTTGGCCCTGGGTTTTTGTACCCTCTATAAATGATTGCCCTCTTCTTCCCCCAAGTGGGATGTGGTACAACCTCGTCCCCACCTCCAAGCGTTAGGTCAGTCAAGGGCTCATGTCTGTGGAAGGTCACTGTTGTAAGCACTTGGCCATAGCATCTGTAGCATTTGGGGGTGAGAGTGAGGGCTGGTCAAGAGTGTGTGGGCAAGGCACCAACACTACAGCACCTGCTACAAATGGCCAGACAGATCCCAAGATCTGGAGCAACTAAATAGGGTAAAGATTTGTTCAGCGCATTCCATGCTTCATCATTTAAATTTTCAACTCTGTACATACCTACTTCTCTGAGCATGTCTGATTGATTTTCAAGCATTGTGATGCTTTCACTCCCAAGACCATCTGAAAAGATAAGTAACACCTAGAGAAAGAAGAAAGCAGAGAAGAGGTGAATGTGAAAATGAAATACATAATTGGGAAGGAGAAACATAAGAAAGCATGCGGAGATGGGACACAGGATGTGATGTGGATACCTGTCCTTGGGATGCAGATGGAGCCTGAAATGTGCCCCACAGCTGCTGCAAGAACTGTGCATTCAGATGAGTTGGCCCATTGACAGTGACTTGCAGCAGGCTCTGAAATACTGTTTCCTGGTAGATTTGGAACTTGGCAGGGAAATCTCGGTCATTGTTCACCTTAAAGGCCACATTCACGTGTGTCTCCGCACCTCCTCCACAGCTCACTCCTCTGATGGAAGTGATGTCCTGTAAGATGCCTGGGAGGTATGACTCCAGCCGGGGGTGGCCGTGGAACAACAGCTGCCCAGGCTGATGAGTTGAAATATCAAACCCGACCACTATGTTCACAAAGCAATCTGGAGACCAAGGGAAATGAGGCCAGATTAATGAGTAGGTAGAAGCAAGGAAGGTGGATAGGGCAGAAAAAGGAGAATAGTCATGGCCCAGGGCAGGGGGTTCTCTAATACCCAAAAAGTGTCCAAGAAGGAAGATATTGGCTGCTCAGTCAACATCTAATACCAGTGTTTTCTCTAACACAAGGTCGAATAGCTATTTGAAGTTCCAGTCATGGCTTGGTCTCATTCTCAGTGGCTGGCTTTCTGTATGCATGTGTTTGTGTGTCTTTTCTTCTTTTAATGATTACACATTATGATTCATATAATCATAAAATTAATATTTGAATTGTCCTTAGAGATTATTTATTCCAAATGTCACAAACTCAAAGGCCAAGTAGCTAATGTAATGCAAATGAACGAAGTGGGCAGAGAGTGAAGAAAATGAATGGAGACCAACGACCCATCTGTTCACTGTTCAGCTCCAGCTGACGGTAGCCATGCGGGAAAGGAGGCTCAGTATTGTGAGATCAACTGATTTTTCAAAGAAAAGCCTGAAATCTATATTTTTAATGTGAAATCTCCAGCTTTTAAGAGCTGTAAAATAATTTAACAAGTTGTCAACACTGGAAGGGCAAACACAATTCAGATGCAAGTTGCCATTTGGTCACTGTCTGACCCTGTCCACTTGTTCATTTTACATGTGAGGAGAGGGTCATTTACAGAGGTCACTGCAAATAACCAGAGTTAGAACTCCAGCTTTCTGATTCCTGGGCCAAGGCTCTCTCTACCACTATAATATGCCTCCAGCTGAGCACCCAAATGGAAAGTAAAAGATCTAGAGAGCTTGGAAAGACAGCATATTCTGTGAAAGACGTGGCTTTAGTCATAACAATTCTAGAAATAGAAGTGCTGTCAGGACTATCTGCGTGTTGTGCAAATTTCACAAAATGTCATTCACTGCTGCTTCCTGATGCGCTGTTCTCCCGATTCCCAGCCCTGAGTGCAGAACCTAAATCCCATGTGGCTACTCTCAGGTCGAGCTGAATAGTGACATTCTCACCCGACGGGCCATTCACATTACTAACCTGGCCTCTGCAGCCATTTGTGTTTCTGACCTCTGGAAATTAAATCATGCCTAAGGACAATGCAAATCTTTCCTATGTTAGGATTATATGAATGTCATCATTAAAAAAAGGAAGCATGTGTCATGACCACACACACGTACATAGAATCCCTTACAAGATAGTTTAATCCAGTTAAAATAGTGAAACTTCCCATCAGCAAGCATTTATTTTACTTAGTTTCTACTAGATGCAAGGCATTACTCTAGGGCTTCCAGAAGTGGAGAGACAGAAATGGGAGACTGAATTACAGGTGCTAAGAAGACCATACTTAGTTCATTGCAGTGAGGGGACAGGGCTGACCAGAGGACACCCCAGGGTCTCCTCCAGCTTCTGCACCCTTTTCCTTGACTCTGAGGGAGGCTGACTGATCCCAAATTTCCTGAAAGCAGAAGACAGGTCTATTCTCACTGCACTCTATTCTAAAAATAAGTTCTGGTTAGAGCCAGCCCACAAGACATGTTGGGAAATGGAGAACTGGGAAGATGTAATTAAATAAAAACAAAGAGCAAGAGAACATTTACCAGTTTTCCCGCATCTCTCGCAGATTTCCCGGACAATTCTTTTTTTCACTTCCACATTCTTTAATTTATTGAAGTCTTGAAAGGTGATTATTTTTTCAGGGTTGCCTGTTATCGGCAGGAGCTGTGCCTTATGAACATGTCCTATGCCCAAAACCATGACACAAATTCCAAGGTTTTTCAGTTTTTGTACTGCATCTGCCACATCATCCTGGGGATCCCCAGATGTGATCACAACCAAAGTTTGAGGGACACCAGCATTTTTTCTCCCACCAGCTGATGGATGAAACATAAATTTCACTTTCTGAAGGGCAAAGCTGATTTGTGGAGGCCCTTTGCTCCTGGTGATACTTTGGATTTGAGTCTTCCACTGGGTTTTATTCAGAGAGTTTTGCAACTCAATAATTTCTTTGTAGAGGCTCCCAAACTGAGCCATCCCAATTTTCATTCTTTGTGACTCAATGTCAAAATTATCAATTAAGTCTGATAAAAAGTTTGTCAGGGTAACAAAGTCTGAATCAGATACCATGTCAGAGCCATCACAAAGGAAAATCACATCAGCTTCTTTATTGTTACAGTCTGCAATTGGGAAAAAATATACCAATTATTTCTCTCATGAATCATTCTAAATTTTCCCTTTAGTCAAACATTCAAATTGTTTTACTAAATACCCACATCACTAGCAAACTTAAATAAGTTAACAGAAGAGAGAATCACCGATTGGTCCCCAAAGGGAAGGAAAAATAGCAGGAATGAGAAAGGTAATAGAGTTTGTTTCAAATTTTATTCATGTGATTCATTTAACAATAAAATCTACTCAGAGAAAGAAAGTTAAATGTCTTGGCATACAATAACAGTTAATATTCCTTATGAAGAATTATTCTAATCTTATAGATACCGAAATGGAATTCAGAGATTAAGTAATTTGCCTAAGAGTACACAAATTCTAAGCAGTGTAGCTTGTACCTGGACCTCTCAGTCCTTTTTATCTTTAAATCCAGCACTTTTTCCTATTGTAAACTTTTAAAAATAATATCATTGCTCAAACATTAAAACTTCATGGAACAAATGCTAGTGTCTAGTCAGCAGGGCATGGGGTCCAATGGAAATATCCCATAACCAAGGAATGATCTTCTATACTCAGTTCTAACCAAATGCAATGGCCGGGGCAGGGGCAGCCCTAAAGTGATTACTAAGGGTAACTGAGACAGCGAAATGCCGATTGTCACCCAGTCCCTCGTAAGGACAGTCTAGTAGACACTGTGACAAGTGGCCCATATAGACCTTTAGGGAAGGACCTGCTGCCTGGCTGTGGGACCACCGTCAGCAGACGGCCTCTAGCTGTCAACTCCTTCAGGGTCAGCCTTGTTGCAGAGTGAAGACTTGCCAAAGGCCATGCCCTTACCAGGGCATCCCACATCTGGGGACTAAGTGAGGAGGGCATATAAAGACCTTGCCTTTTTTTAGTCTGATATAACTCTGATGGGCTATACCCACTCCAGAGCTTCCTGCCGGATTTGAAGCTTTGTCAAGCATGTATCACTCTTTGACTTCTGCCTATCCTGCTTTCCCCCTTTCTTTCAGAGGTGTGGATCCCTAATAAACTTCCTGCATCCCCATCTCAACCTCTGCATCTACTTCCTAAACATAGGCATGGGAGATGAGAATAAATCAGCACCCATATTGCTAGGAAAAGGCTGTAGTCCTTGCAGTGTACTAGATTTGGCAGGGTCTAAATCTACGGTCGAGAGGCCAAGCCTGTCCGAGGAGCTCATAGTCTTCTGACAGACATAGATAAGGAAATTGTAAATGTGCTACCATCAGGAGAAATAGAAGGTGCAGGAGTTGGGGGACACAGTGGGGACACTGTTAAGTGTTGGGTGAGAAAACTAGCAAACAAAGGCTGGAATATATCAGACAAGCTAAATATAGCCAGAAGAAGTGGTGAGCTGGCATGTTCATGGTGGGTAGAGTCATACATGCAAAGATACAAAAGGAATTTCAAAATGACAGGAGAGATTCTGAAGAAGGGAAGGACAATAGATGAATTAGAGGTGGGCAGGTGCCATGGAACTCAGTTTAGAAACCGTAAGCTCTAAGCAGAACAGCGACGGTCCAGTGTCTATTAGAAAGATCATTTGTTGTTGAGAGTGGGCTGGAAGGTGGCAATATGGATGGTAGGGAGACCAGGTTTCAGGGTGTGAGTCCTGGGACAGGCCAAAGCAGGCAGAAGAATTGAGTGGCCCCAGTGCCTTAGAAAAAGTCATGCTTTTATCTTAAGGATGAATACCATCATTCGGTGTTTGGCATCACGAAGATGAACTTACTGCTTACTTAAGTAAGGTAGAGCTAGGTTGGTCAGATCTAGTTTCATTCTGCACACCCAGTGCTGATCTGACACAAGATGGGGGAAATGTTTTGTTCAGGGTTGGACTGCTTACAGAGATGAGAGGCGAGTTCGTGTTAGGCTTAGAAACATGATTTCTAAGTAGAAACATGATTTCTAAGTGTTGGATTCAAAAGTAGATTTCAAACTGGTAGAGAGTAAAGAAGAAAGGAGAAAAGTTAGAAAGAAGGGAATCTCAGAGAGGGAGTGAAGGAGGAAAGAAGAAAAAACTTAGTTGATTGGTTCGTTTGCCAGGTTTGAAGGACTGGGCCAGTACTCGGCCAGGAGTCTCACCTTGCAAGGAGGCCGCCCCTAGATGACTTTTTAATCTCTGCGGCTTTGAGCTCAGGTGGCAAATCTCATCCTCCCCTCACTTGACTGTGGTGCTCGCAGCCTGCCCTGACCCAATGGTATCTCAGGGAATCAGCTCAGGCTCCTTCCCTCCTTGTTCCTAGCAGCCAGTCTCCATTATCCCATACTGAATTCCAATGGCCTTCCCTCTGCCTTAGTGACCCTCATCCAAAAAAGTACATTCAACCACTTGAACTTCCTATGGCCCCACAGAATGCCTATAATCTTATTTAGATAGACCCAGGTCTTTGAAGACAAAAGTTGATCTGCTTAAACCATGAAACCCTCCGCTTGAGTGTGGCCTGAAACTGATGCCCAGTGGCTGTGTTGAGACCATTAAGCAAACGGAGCAGCACATGAAAGCCAGAGAATGGGGTAAGGTGACAATGATCTAAAGCAGAGTTCCTTCCTGCCAAGTAAAAGGCAACAAGGTGGCAAGACAGCAAGGAGTGCTTCTGAAACCTTCTAGCATCCCTTCAGTACACACTATGGTGGGAAGGAATCTTTAGGATCTTGCTCAAATAGCACATTTCTTTTAGAGATGAGAAAAACACGTAGCCTAAGCCAAGAAGGTAATTGGAAGCCAAGACATAAATTATGTTTTGCTTAAACTCGTATCGCTATCCACATTGAAAGTTTAAAAAGTATAGCTTACCCTCTTGTGCATTGATACATATACTTTCTTGTAGAAGCAGGTAAATATCTTTCAGTTTGTCAAAATCACTTACATGGATAGTGTTATTTTTATTTCCTGCCATAAGCTCAAGCTCAGTTTGATTGGCCTTATCTACACCCACTGCATAGATGATGATGCCTTTCTCTCTCAATTTCAATGCTGTGCCATTGAGCATTTCTCGGTCTTGGGACTCCCCATCGGTGATGATGATCAGCATTTGTTTCACGCCTTGCTTGATGCGACTGCCGTATTCCTCGGTGAACAGGATGTCTGTGTGACTGAGAGCCTTGGCAGTGTGGGTGTTCCCTCCTGTGTTCCTATGCCTCCTCAGATTCTCAATGATTGCCGATCGGGTCTGGTATGTATTGAGGTAGAAGAGAACCTCTGGCTGGTCTGAGTATTTGACAGCTCCAAACTGAACTCGGTCTCTGCCAATGTCCGCTTTATTCACCAAATGGACAGTCAGGTTAATCATGCTTTGTTGCTGCTGTTCATTTATGCTGCTGGAATGATCCAGCACAAACACAACATCTAACTTCCTGATATTTTTACAATCTGAAAGAAGAAGGAAGTAGGCATCACAAACTTTCCACAGAACATTCTACACAGACAGCTGGGAAGGGGGCACACTAACATTTGTCATGAGCCTACTATGTGCCAAATCCTGCATTTCAGTTCTTAGAGGTGGCTGTTGACATCTTACAGAGAAAGAAGCTGTGACTCAGAGATAGACAACTTGCCCAGTTTATAATTTTAAGGACATTTGTATCCTTATCTATCCAAATCCACTGTCAGGGGTGCTTATTCCACACCACTCTGCTCTGCTATAATTCATTAGGATATGAAATGCCTTTTGCTAGGTAGATAGACTTTCAACTGGAAGGAAATGTCATAAGGTAATTAGTTCAAACTCTATATAATGATGACACATGACTGACAGTTGCCAGTCTGGCTTGCTGTTTTACATGGCTGAGGGGCTCATTGTGTAATCTGGGGTTTTTATCCTACTCCTCTGGCCCCAGCTACCATCTCAGCTCTGATGGGCAAACCTTCCCATGTACACCATGCCTCTCCCCATTTATTTGTGCTCCTTCCCCTGATCTTCTGACTTACAACTCAGAAAAGTAGTGGCCCTAAATTGGGTTATGTCTAAGGCACCTAACACCTCATCCCTAGCCCCAAGCCCTCTTTCCTGCATGTTAAAAGCCAAATGGTTCTGACTGCTGTGGCTTAGTTCATTGAGCATCATCCCACAGAGCAAAAGGTCACTGGTTCGATTCCCAGTCAGAGCACATGCTTGGGTTATGGTTTTGGTCCCCAATTAGGGCACATAGGAGAGGCAACTGCTCAATGTTTCTCTCACATTGATGTTTCTGTCCCTCTTTTTCTCTCTCCCTACCCCTCTCTCTATGAAAAATAAATAAATAAAATCTTTTTTTAAAAGCCAAGTGACCATTCACGTTGGGTTTCTAAAGTGTGGACTTTCTCACTTTTCTTTTCCCTTCCTCAGTAAGGTAAGCACATGCCGTCCCAAGGTTGGCTTTCTCCACTTACCACCTGCCCATCGTATCTCCAAGCATTATTTCTGGCAATGAGGTCTCACATTTTCAAGTCTAAGACACTGTGGATGAGCCCAACCTATCTATGTAGGAACGTGGGGCAATAACCCAGGTTCCTACACACATACAAAGTGAACATAAATATTTATCAAGTTATGCTTGGTCAACAATGAGATTGGTGACTAGGCATGACTTGACAATATTTTATGAGTCCATCTAATGGATGAGTTAGCTGAAATTTCACCTTATGATATAGACAGGACCTCCATATGCATTACATTTATCAAAATGAAGAAATGCCAGGAAGAGCCCTGTGGATTTCAAAGTTGGGGTTGTGGTCCTAAGGTAAGACTTTCTTAGAATATCTCAATCTAGAGTTTCAAAATCACTGTCATTCTTAGAAGAAAAAACTCCAGTTAAGTTATGACAGAAATCTTAGCACCACTGTCTAAAACTCAGAGTTTATACTGAGATATTTTACTTGTTATCTTCCTAAAAATTTCACACACATAATTTTGAAAAATAAAGCCCAAAGCGGGTTTCTGTGTTGCCAGGGGAACAATATACAGCAAAGTTACGAATACTTTGGTTTGTTCTTTTGTATCCCAAAGCACATAATAGATTTAAAAGCACAGGTGTTTTTAGTCTTAGATGTGGATTTATATCAAGATCTTCAAGGGTCATTAAAGTTGACAGGCTGAAACTAAAGTTTGCTCAATAAAATTTGACTACAATTTATAAAATAAAAATAATGATTCCCCCAAGAAGTCATAAAAAGTTAACAAATTAAAAATTTCCAAAGGGATAGATACATGAACAGGCAAATGAAAAATACCTAGCTGATAGAGGTTAAGAATAATAATATGAACTAATGAAAATACATATTATACCTTTAAAATATAGAGGGGGTTTTGGGGGGAGGTAGATGCCTAGGATATTGAATTTAACAACTAAAAGGAAGATAAATCTGTATTTCTTATTATTTCCTGCTTAACAGTGGTTATAAAAATAATTCTGGGGAATCACTTGGTATTAAAAATTGGCCCCTGAAAATCTAGGTATGCAGATACTAAGGAGTTGAAAGTATAATGTAAAATTCTGCAGCCTTCTTGGAATGTATTTGAAGTCACCAAAGCCAGATGATTTTGTCACCAAAGTAGCTGACAAAATTGTTAATCTGAAATATCTTTGGAGGTCATGGGTGTTTCAACATATTACATAGATAAGACCAAAACCTAACACCAAAGTCCAGTTAGAGGCCAAGCCCAGAGCACAATCAGTCACTGTTCACCCTTTCTATAAAGCCAACAGCTCATGTCCTTGAGTCCTGAAGGATAGCAGGGTCACTTACCATAAAGAGCACACATATAAAAGGTGAGTTTACTTTGTATTGTCTCTAGGTGATCAAACTCCTCGACATGGAAGACCAGGCTGCCATCCCCACTGATCTCCTCTAGCTGAGTCCTCTCGGAGCCAAACACCCCCACAGAGATGATGGTCACACCTCTGTCCCGAAGAGCTTTAGCAGGGTCTCTCACATCATCCTGTGCTTTTCCATCCGTGATGAGAATAAGAAACTGTTTGACTCCAGAACGGGCTCCCTTGCGATCGGTGAAATATTCACCTACGACGACTAGTGCATTTCCAGTCAAAGTGTTTCTTTTGATGGGAGACATTCTGTCTATTGCAGCAGAAATTTCTTTTTGCGTAAAGTATCGATCAAGTTGGAACTCTTCCCTAACATGATCACTGAACTGAACGACACCAATTTGAGTTTTGTCTGGACCAATTTGAATCTTAGTTGTCACATTTTTCATAAAGGCTTTCATTTTCCCAAAGTTGGTATCTCCTATACTGCCAGAACTGTCCACCAGAAACATAATGTCGGTCTTCATGTCTTCACAGCCTGCATGTTATCAAAAAGATCAGAAACAAATCGGGTTGGTAAGGTTCTCAGAATATGTAGAAATAAATGCAATAATTAGAAAATATTGAAAATTAACTCAAGTAACTACTATTACATTTGAAAATTTTATTCACTTCTTAAGTAAAAGTTTGTTGATTAGAATCCTAAATAAGAAATCCACTGAAAATTATCCAAGATTTTTGAAGAAGAGATGTAACTTCAAAAGTATGTATTCATTTACTCATGAATGCATGCATCATTCATTTATTCATTCATAATTCTTGAATTCCATGAAATGCCAATAGTCAAGCTATGTGTTAAAGATGCAGCAGCGATCAAAAAAAAAAAGGAATCAGAGAAAAAGTAATCAATCCTCTTCACTCATAGGATAAATATTCCAATGTTTTATTCACATTCTTTAAAAAAAAATTTAAGTAATCTTAACATAGAAGTGTTTCCTGGAATAATTTACAGTAACTTGAGAAACACTATAAATCAATATTAGAAATTGAAGTGAGCCCTGGCTGGTGTGGCTCAGTGGATTGAATGCTGGCCAGTGAACCCAAGGTTCACTGGTTCCGTTCCCAGTCAGGGTGCATGCCCGAGTTGTGGGCCAGGTCCCCGGTAGAGGGTGTGCGACAGGCAACCACACATTGATGTGTCTCTCCCTCTCTTTCTCCCTCCCTCCCCCAATCTCTAAAAATAAATAAATAAAATCTTTTAGAAAAAAAGAAAGCAATTGGGGTGAAAAGTTTTTACTAGAGGTAAGTGCATTAGTAAGCACATACCCAGTCAGTATGGATTTTTTTTTATTTATACAAAAATTTATAGATACCCTGATGGAAATTGGTATATCTGTGTATATATATAAGTATATATATATATATATATATATATATATATATATATATGCACACACACATACATGCACATGGAAGACTGATTTCTATAAGCCATAGAAAAAGACAGTGTTATTAATTCATAGTACAGATACTGATGTGTGTATAAACATATATACAATGTATTGTCTTTAGCATGTATTTTAGTCTCATCACTTTTGTCTATCTCTTAACATTGCCATTCTCTTACCACCCCCTCTCTCAACACTCAGCGTCTATGCCATACTATTTGAAAATGAACAATTAGCATCAGCCATAGAAGAACGAAAAGATGCTAACAATTTTTTCAGTCACTTGCATTGTATATGACTCCACAAGAAATTATAACCATCATTTGAGACCCAAGCCTCCTTGGGGCCATCTTGAAAGTCACAAACAGGGAGGTAGATGAAGACGTTTGTGGCCTTGGCAAAGCCCTACTGTTGTGAAGTATGGAAGGATCTCTTGCTACTTTCTAACAAGTAGACATTTAGTCCTTGAATCTATTTGTAACATAGACTATTTCTTTTTCTCTAATATCTGTTCTGCTCTTCTATGGCAATAAAGTTTCAGCTAAGTATATGGTTGCCCAGGTAAAGATGATATTCTCCAGCCTTTCTTGGAGCTAGAGTGATCCTGTAACTAGGCGTGGGCCAACAGAGATAGGCAAAGGTCTTAACAAGAAAACAGTTAAGTGTGGTGGTCTCCCCTGGCCCTTTCTCCCTTTTCACAAATGCAAGGTCATGAGAACTTGGACTTCACTTTCACCTAAAGATGGAAGTTATGTAATGAGTATTGAACAGCCTCTCTACGAGACCTGGACTGCTTACTTTGGACAACTGTGCAAGAAAAAAATAATATTCTGTGTTGTGTAGTTTGGGGTCTTTTTGTTACAGCCTCTTCACCTGCTCCCTAACCAATACACTGTGTCTCACTCCATCCACATCTGCTCTGAGACTAGTGAGTGTTTTTCTAGGCCCTTGGGCTTTGACCCCTTAGTTTTTGTGCTTCTCTGTCTGCTATCTTATGGCTCATTTCCTTGTCTGCTGCTTGTTTCCTCCTTCAGGTGTGCCAGTGTTCAGGCACATGAACTGCAACTGCCTGACCTGCAAGAGATGTACTGCAGCTCCTCAGATTGGTCCAGAACCTTTTCCCTTGAGAAGTCTTGAGATACAATCTACTTTACGTTTCCTGAAATCCTTTTACTTCTCTTGACATCAACCCCCAAAACACTAGGGGCCTTTTAATCTTGTACTCTAAGACCGAACTCTGTCCATAATATTACTGCCCATAACAGAAAAATCAGTGAACAGAATTTTGATTTAGGATATTGTTATGAATGCTACTTATTTGCTTATGCATTTACTTTTGATTTGAGTAACTCAGAAAACATTGCAACACAGTTTTCACTTTTGTGAGTTCAAGTAAGTGAAAATTCTTTTCCTTTCCTCATTTGTGAACACCTTAACCAACTTCTGCAATAGCTAACTTTTATGTGGCACTTACTATGTGCCAGGTTCTCCTGTAAGTGTTCCACATGCATAATTACCTTTAAGCTTCATAATAAGGCTACACACAAGGGACTAAGGCAAGTAGACAGTAAGTAAACTATTCCAGGGCCACAACTAAGTAATAAAGCTGGGATCTGAACTTGAAGTCTTTCATTCCAGCATCCCTTCTCCTATGCTTCTCAGTAGACAATATTTTCATGTGCTAATACTAGCAATAAACCATACCATCTTTAGTTAGTAAGTGGCCATTATTAAGATAAATAATAATCAGGTATAGGAATTTGAAGATTTGTTCTTCCTAATTTCTGTTACTTAATTGGTAGCCTGAACAAAAATGCAAGTATGTGTTATAAATAAGAATAAATAATAATTGTTACACATATACTAGGCTATGCATTCATAATAGAGAAATAATTGTTGGTGTGTATTACGTGAAACCTATAAGAATTCTCTAGTGCAGGTGTTATCCTCATAGAGGAGGAAGTCCGAAGCTCTAGTAGAAAAATGAGTGGAAACCTAATCTACCTAAAGCCAGAGCCCATTTTCTTTCCATTGTATTCATCTGTCTCAGTTAGCACATGTGCCTGCACACACATACACACACACACACACACGCACACACACACAGAGAACAGAGTCTCTTACACACCACAGCAACAGTTTTTGTCACGGCTACAACATTCCTAGTAACCTTCCTACTTCTGATTTTCAAGATGGCCCCAGGGCTGCTGTCTATAACAGAAAGTGTCTCCAATCTTGGCAACTGGTTTAAAGTAAGGGGCTGAAACCTTCCAAGGTGATAAGAGAAGTTAGCAAAGCATTAACCAGACAATTTGTCACATCACCCCATGTCTCAGCCTGACTATCAGTCTGCCTAAAGCAACTAATGAAGCACAGAAAATAACGCCTTTTTTGTTTTGCTTACCTTTTTCAGTGCAGATGGTCTGAACAACTTCATTTTTGATGCTTTCTAAAAAATCAAAGTTCTGCCCAAACTTAACCCTTTCTTCTTTTCCAGCAATTTGTAGCAGTTGTGTTTTGTTAGCCTGTCCAATGCCAATGGCATGAATGGTGATTTGTTCAGCCCTTATTCTCTCAGCAGGTTCCAGGACGCTGTCCTCAGACATCCCATCAGTCAGCACAATGAGGTGACAGGGAATCTCGCTTGACCTCTGCGTCCTCCCCTTCCTTATAATTGGCAGAATGAAATCCAGGGCTGCCCCAGTAGTAGTTCCGCCTCCGAGTTGATGAATGTTTAAAACAGCCTGTCTTAAGTTCACATAATTAGTATAAACATTGATATCAAATTCCACTCGATTCTCACGTGAATATTGCACAGCCCCAACTCGGACTTCGTCTGGGCCAATGTTAAACATGTCTATTACCCCCAACATAAATTTCTTGATTTCATCAAAGTCCTGCATCCTGATACTGCCTGAGCCATCAATGAGGAAATAGAAATCGGCCTCTTTTGTAGCCACACAGCCTGCAAAAAAAAAAAAAAAAAAGGAAAATAAAAAAATGAAAGTGACTTCGTCATTAATTATAGAGAATCTGGAGAGAAATTTGCAAGCAGGTTTGTAAAAAACATGAGACTTTGAAGGTTATAAAGAATGTGGACACTTCAGGTTGGCCCAGAGCCTGTACATTTCATCGAGCTCATTCGTGCCCATTTTCTCCTTTGAAATTTGCAACAACCTTGTGAGGAAACTGAAACAGAGTGAGGCCCCGTGGTTTTCCTAAGGATAAGAACACACAACCAGTAATTAAAGAGCAAGAATCAGACTCCCAAATCTCTAGGCTGTAAATCAAATAGTTTTTCTAGTACTGACACCTGCCTTTTCAGACAGTTACGCCTTATCATTTCTTGAGAAACAGGGTGGGACAGAGGACCTCCTGTTCTTACTTCCCCAATAACCAACCTCCTCTTTCCAGAGCAACTAGGACAATATATTTAAAACTAGAATCACATCATATTGTATTTCTATTTAAATGACTTATCATTGCATTTAGAATTTAAAAATAAAAAACTGGCCTGAGCTTTTTCCCTGCTTTCCTCTCTGACCCTATTTCCAGCAATTCTTCATCTTACTGCGCTCCAGCCACGCTGGACTTCTTTCTAGGCTTTGAATGTGCCACAGGGCTTTTGCACTTGCCCTCCTCTCTTCCTGGAATATTCTTCCCCCCAAAGGTTCACATGGCTGGTTCCTTCTCATCTTGTCATAGATGCACCCACTCAGATCCTGTTCCTCGAGAAGATCTTCTCCTCTCTAGCTAAAGCACATCGATCATTGTCTCTCCTGTTACCCTATTTTCTTTATGATACCCAGTACTTTCTGAAATGTTCTTACTCTCTTGTTCATGAACACAGCCTGTTTTCTGCCACAGAGCATCAGCTCCATCAAGGCAGAGATTTGCCTAGCTCTCTGCTTCTGCCCAGCAGGCCTGGTACATCACAAGATTTCAACAAAAATTTTTAAATGGAAGCATTCTCAATGTACCTTCCTTTGTTGAGAGCAGATTCTATGAAAAAGTGCTTTAACTTTCTTTATAGACTGTTTACAACTCTATCTAGTCATTCATTGCAATCAGATGGGAGGAAGAGCATACTTTTAAAATTTAAGTTATTTATGCAATTATCTGAGGCAGTAGGTGAAAAGATCTTTAAAACACAAGACAACTTCGTCATTTCAGAAATATTTTCTTTCTTGACAGCTTTTTGGGAATTTAAAGCTATTAACAATACTTCAAGCTCTTAAGGAGTTGGTCCTTAAGAAATCAGAAATACTGGAAACATTGTAAGTTTGACCTTGAGAATTAAACTATGAAATCAACACACAAAGCATCAGGGCAAAGATAAGCAATTATTTGCAAAACACAGATTTGATCCCAGGCCATCAAAACTTGATGACAACCAGAATTAATTGTTTTATATACCTGATAAAGAAGGACTAGGTGTTTTTCAGAAACAAGACAGTGGTGCCCATCAATGAAGGAGAGTAAAATGCGAGCCACAGTGAGAGCAGGGCTGTCCCATCCACAAGCCACTAGTCATATGTTGCTATCAAAATGTAAACTTAAATTGAAACTATTTTACAATTAAATAAAATGTAAACATCAGCTCTTCAGTCACACTGGCTACATTTCAGATGCTAAACCACCCCATGTGGCTAGTGGCTATCATATTGGACAGTGTAATTATGGAACATTTCCATCATCATGTTCAACTGGACAGTGTTGAAGAAGAATGTATCCCTGGACCCCAGGAGTTAGACACAGTTATACAGAGAGGTAGATAGGGATATATAGTTATATTAAGAGATAGAGATAGAGATCTATATATTTGATTTCAGAATAGAGTCACCCATTGAATTGGATGCCACCAGACATTTTAGTGATAAAAGTAAATCCGTTGTTGTGATCTTGCAACCTCTGACAGTCTTGATTACAATTCAGCTTCTCACCTGGCATGTCTACAGGGAGAGGATGTACCTCTCCAAGGACAGGAACATCCAGGCCCCTGAGCATTGATAGTTTTCACTATAAAGATATTTATCATTCTTTTTCTCCACATGGGTCCTTTGGTTTTGCTAGTGTGAGTTTCCTCTTGATTTAATGGAGTTCTACTTAATAGAGTGAATATTACTGTATGCCAGAGGTAGTAGATATAGCAGTAACTAAGTCAATACAGACTGCTTCTCTGGGTTTGACCATTATGAAATTATAAAGTTATAATTCACCCTCTTAGTCCAAGGCAAATTCACTAAAAGCAGTGGTTTTCAAACACTGTAGTCACGAGTTCATTGGGGAGCTTATTAAAATGCAGAGAGCCCAGAACCTACCCTCAGAGACTGATTCATTAGTGTAGGTAGGACTTGGGCCACTACATTATTTACAAGCTTGTTGGGAAACTCTGATAAATTTATAGCAGATACTGTCGGTGTTCTGCCTGTAACCCCTCAAATTCTTTACCATTTTCACACACACTGGTTTCCAGTGCTTTTGTTCCAACAGCTAGCACCAATGTCTGTTTGTGGGTAGGCTGCTCTTGGCACCTGAACTAGAAGTGTCTGGAAATTTACATTCCCCCATGTGTGCTGGGATATAAATTCTCTAGCTACATGGCCCCCGACTGGGACAACCCTACAGCTACACCAACCTTGCCTCTAGCATGGTCCCATGAAATTGACCCTCTCTGGAGCCCTGCTTATCATCCTTCCTTCCTGCTCCCACTTCCACACTTCCCTACCAATCTCCAGTTTTTCCTGGGTATATTTTCTAATGTATGAGTTTCACATAAATTTTTATTTGGTTTCTGAGGAACCCAGTCTAAGTCAGGTACTGATATTAAGAGTCACTAAATTAATAAGAAGTCACCCACTGAGGTTTTATAAAAGATAGTCATCCCCTTGGATGGCCGTGGCCCTAGGCTTGGTCCCATATCTTCCCATGTAGAAATTCTATAACAACAATAATCATTTTTGCCACATCATTTTGTCCCTGAGACCACACTACACATTCCTCCTATGCCCCAATGGTTGGTACTAGACCGAGGTGGCTGTCACTCTGAGGGTGTCCCCTGCGTATCACTCAGGAGGCAATCTTGTTTCTTGCTGCTGCCTTGTAATGTGTACATGCCAGAGGAAATCCTAGGCCAGTCCGGATGCATTCCTTAAGCCTTCAGCAGTCTGGTCTAAGTTTAAATTAGCTTTTAATATCATTGGAAGGTTATAATTATTTTCCACTTGAATGCTGCCAAATCTCAGTTCCAATTGTTTGGAAGCATTTTGTCTGCAGAGTAAATGTGTGAAGACTGCAGATATCCCAGAACTAAATAAAATCAAAGTCACGTCGAGTATCTCTCGGCACGTACCTTTGGAAAGAGCTCGGTAAAACTATAGCAGATTCATAAAGCATCTTAACTAGAATACCCTTCACTAGAATGATGGAAGGAAAAAATTAAAAAGATTAAAAAGCAAGAAAATAATCATGGTTGTGCATAAGGATGAAACCTACAAGACTTTTGTAAGAGCAAAACACCAGCAATGGCCTATGTATATAATCCAACAATTTAGGATATGTTAAACAAATTATGTTATATCCATATGATGGAATAGTATTCCCGACTTTAAAAAAGTGTTGAAAAAGAATATTTAAGGAACGGTACAAAACTACACGACATAGGTTGATAGGAAGGTGGATAAGGCAGATAATAGTCATTATTTCCAATATCCATTCTCTCCTTCTTCTAAACTAATTGGACTCCCAATTTTTACCTAGGTAAAAATTTTACCTTGACTGCCCCAAATGAAGGCTGCATTTTTAGGCTTCCATTTTTATATCTGAAAGTGACATGTGACGAAGTTCTGGCCAATGGAATGTAAACAGAAATGGTATATGTCATTTCTGAGACTACTCTTGAAGAAAAGGAAGTAGAAGGCTGCCTTTCCCTTACTTTCAATTTTCTGGCTTGCTGAGTGTGAATGTGATGCTTGGGCAGTTAACCTGGACTACAATCCTGGGAATAAAGGCCACCAATAGCCCCCCCCCAAAAAAAGGGAGAGAGAGAGACAGGGTGCCTGACACTATGGTGTACCACACCAGCTCAGTCTGCTTACCTCCAGACTTATTTATGAAACAGAAAACTAGTTTTATTTTGTTTAAATTGTCGTTAATTTTGGCCCTGGTTGGGTAGCTCAGTTAGTTGGAGCATCATCCCAATATGCCGAAGTTGCAGGTTTGATCCCCTGTCAGGGCACATATAAGAAGCAACCAATAAATGCATAAATAAGTGGAACCATAAATCTCTCTTTCTCTCTTCCTCTTTCTCTCTCTAATCAATCAATAAAAATAATTTTAAAATCATTATTATTTTTTCTTTTGTTAGGCACACCAAAATGTAATTGTAACTGATATAACAACTAACCTAAAAGACAAGAGAAATAAATGTTAAGAATAGTTTTAATCTGAAAGACTGGATTACAGGCTATTTTATTTTCTTCTTTATGTTCATAAATACTATTAAACTATTTTATAATTAACCATTATAAATAAAATATAATTAAAATTATAATTAAAATTTTATAAATTGTAAATATAATTTTATATTTTAGTTTTTTTACATTTTATTGAGGTACTTACATTTACATTTACTTACATGCTAAAAAAAAATTCACCCATTGTAATCACTGAATGATTTTTTTGTAAATTTATAGTTTTGCAGCCACCACCAGAATATAGTTTCAGAACACTTTCATAACTTCTAAAGTTCCCTTATTTAATTCCAGTCAGTCCTCACTCCTGCCCCAGCCACAGACAATTACTCATGTTACCTTTATAATAGGAAAAGTATTTTTTTTAACTTACCAGTTTTGTCAATATCCACATGTTCAGCACGAGTATAAATTTGGGACCATATTTCATTCTGGATCTTTTTCAGGAAGTTCCGACTGTAAGTTTCCAAGTCTGCATAAGACTGTAGCATGGAAACTGTCTGTCTTGGAGGGTAAGACACTATTTTTTCTAACTGGGTCTTGTTAGCCCTATGGATGCCCACAGCAAGCACAGTTACGCCCTCCATACGAAGTTTCATTGCAGCATCACGCACCTCATCATCTGAGGGTCTGTGAGTGACAAGGACCGCGATCTGAGGCACTCCCTGGGCCTTTCTGCTGCCACTTGACTCTAAGAAGCCTTCTCTCCTCAGCTTCTCAATGGCAGCCCCCGCATTGGATCTCCCAGTCCGGAGAGAAAGCTTCTGGATTTGCTCCTGAAATGCAGATTGATTTGTGCTTGATTTCAGAAGAGAAATAGTCTCAGCCTCATTGCTGTAACTCATAAGTCCAAGCCGCATGCAGTTAGCGTTCACATCCAGGGAAGTGGTGATATTCTCTAGGAACCTCTGCAGGTTCCTTAGATTTTGTCTGGTTCCAACTGTCTCATCCACCAGGAACACAAGGTCAGCCAGCGAATCTTTCTCACAGGTCACAGGGGAGGGAACTATGGAGAGAGAAAAAGCATGAGAATCTGCACAAACCACCAGCACAGAGTGAGGACAATACTTTACAGATTGCCAAAAGGCATCAGTGAAAATAGAGATAGTCATGACAGATGAGGTTAGCATTGTTTTCTTTTAATAAACAAAATATATTTCATTGTTGATGGGGGGGGGGGGGTTGTGCAGGGGAAAGCCATGAGGGAAAATGAGGACAACTGTAATAGGACAACAATAACACAATAAAAAAGTAAAATAAACGAAAGATAAAAATTCCGAACAACATTTATAAGGTCATTGACTTCCGAGGCTCTGCATTGCTGTTCCCTCTCTCTGAAGAATGCTTCTTACCGATTTGCCTACTATACCCACCACCACCGTGATCTTCGTGACCACCATCACCACCACTGTGACCACTGCCACCACCACCACCTCCACCTCCACTCTACATCCCCCCTCACCATTCTCAAGCGCTGTCATACAGGGAAGAGTTAGAAATATTTCTGGCCTCAGGGAGCTCACATTCTGTGAAGAGGACAGATAACTAACATATTATTTCAGACAGTAGTAAGTACTAGCAAGGGAATAAAACAGGTGACTCAAGTGAGTTACTATGCTGGGGATGCAGCGTGGGAACTAACTTCTCTGAAACATAAAGAAGTCAGGGGAGCCCTCCCTGAGAGGATCACATTTGGATGGAGATCTCAATGAAAAGGACTCAGCCACATGTTGTTCTAGAGGAAGAGGAATTCTGGCAAACAAACAGTAGAAGGTGGGAACAAGTAAGAAGTCCAGAGTGGCTGGAGCCAGTGAGCAAGGGGAACAGTGATGAATGAGGTCAGGAAAAGGTGGGGACCAAATTGTAAGGATGTCACATGATCCTATTTAAGTCTTTTAAATGTCATCCTAGTCACTGAAGGGTAATAATGAATTCAGGAATTTCCATTAAGAAACAGCTATCTAGTCCAGGCAAGAGATAATGCTTCTTGGACAAGGATAAGAGTAGGTAAGATGAAACAAGGGTAGTTTTGACACATGAATTAGAGGTAGAACAGAGATGACTTGATGATAAATTGAATGCAAGGGTTGAGAGACAATGGGGAAGTGGTGAGAACTCCTAGTTTTTTGACCTGAACAGCTGAGCGGATGTTGATGGTGTCTTTTTCCAAGATAGGGAAGACGGTAGGAAGAACAAGTTGCAAGGAGAATTCAAGAATTCCATTTCAGACATGCTAAGCATGGGATACTCTTGCAGATGCTGGATAAACAGTTGGTTATATGAAGTTGGAATTGAGGGGAGAGTACACCACATGCACATAAAACTCCTACCCGAAGCACAGATGGAGAAAACACAACTGAGGTAAGTGTAGCCAAGAGATAAGCTCAGTGTTTCCAAAAACTACCCATTAGGGTTGGGAGTTCTAGAAACCAGATGGCATGTCTTACTTATCTCAGTCCCTACCGTACCTGGTACCAGGTGGGAGTCCAAAAATATTTGTGGAATTAAAAATAATTCTCTATAATCTGCCAATGTGCTCTGAACCCTACACAGCTGGCTTAAATACACCCTCAGAATGATTGTCCAGGTTAATGTTTATTTGTAAATTATTAATAGCAGTAAGCTCTGTGCTAAATGCCATACAAGCCACCTTACCTATATCATAAGGTAATCACTTTTATCCTCACATTATAGGTAAGGAAACTGAAGCTGAGAGGTTAAATAACCTACTCAAGGACCTGAAGGGTCAAGCCAGGGTTTGACCCAGACCTTCCTGACTCCAAAGTAAAACCCTCATACCTAACCTCTAAAGGCAAGGATAACCTTGTTGTACCATACTGCTGTGAAGTAAATTAGGAGAAGTGAAAAAAGCACATTCAGCACACAGAGCTTTTACTACAAAAGTGTAAAAGCCCTATTGTCCTGGAGAACCCAGACTAAGCAGCTGCCTACAGGGTTGGAACATCTCCTAGGTCCCCAAGATGGAGGGTACCAGGAAGGTTTTTTCTCTGGGAGAAGATGCACACATGCCACAAGAACTTACTATTTCCCCCAAGAAAGGAGGAGAGAAGGAGGAGGAGAGTGGAGGAGAAAGGACTCTCTGGCACCTCAAGGATATACTAACTGTGGCAGAGCCTTCTAGATACTCACTAAAATCCACTTCCTCTTCTTGGGTTTAGAGGTAAACCTGATTTCCTAGCCTCACTTGGAGTTAGATAGGACCATGGGACTAATGAAATCTGGCTAATGAAATATGAGTCTCTTCAAAGCTTAGCCCATAAAACCATTTTCCATCGTCCTTCTTCCTGTCCTTCAACAAGCTCTATACTAATTCCCAGGGCACCTTGCAAGTCATATTTTAACATAGAAGAGACACTACCTACCTAAGTATCTGAGTAAACAAAAGAAACACAACTGGTCACCTGGAGCACTGGCCCTAAGATACTACAAGGGAATTAAATAAGCTTCTTATTATTCAGGAACTCTATTTGTTATTAAGACCTAGCCTGGTCTAACTACAAAATCAGCCCATAACAAAGCCATGGAATTGATGAATGGTAGAGCAGGAGGGGAGTTTCAACCTCACCCCCACTCCCATGCTTTACATATTAGGATGCTGATGCAAGTCTCAGAGAGATGACATTTCTTCTCCAAGTTCACATAGCCAGCAAGTGGCATTGTGTGGTTCTTTTGACCTTGTGTTCAGGGTACTGTGTACCACACCTCATGACTTCTTTGAGTCTTAGAACTAGATAGCACCTGCTCAGAATAGCCCACCACGGCCAACTGGGCACAGAAGCAGTCAGGAAAATCCATTATGCCGGGGATTCTTTCTACGTTATTCTGGAAACATGACCAGAGCCTCTTCCCAGCACAGCACACTTACTGAAGACCACCTTTCAGCTGTACTGGCCTGTTTTACCTGCTCATCAATACCACGTGTGGAGCTTCCTGCCTCGTTTTGTCTATTCCTTACTAAGGCTTCCTGGGATCTCTTCCCAAGTGAACTATTTGTACTGAAGAGTCTTCTGTTTTGGAGTCTTCATGGAAAACTCAATTAAGACACAAAAAAAGCATTTTTCAAATGGAAGTTGTGAGTTATGGGGGCATAAGTAGTTCTCCTCTTAGCCTCAGGAATCAAGAATAAAAGTGGATGAGAAGGTTGCCTACTTTCCTGCACAAAATACAGGGATTGCCCAGGGGCTAAAAGGAAGGCAGAATTGGCAGTTCTGGTGGGTGGACATGTAGAGCTAATAGATGGCTATCTGGCCTGGGAATCAGCATTCCCCTCAAAGGGAACCAGCGACAACTGGGATAAGGTGCCGCTCTCAAGTAGCTTTGCACACACAAACATCAATATGGACGATGGTGCCTGAGAGGGCAGGTCTGTGCTGTCACTTGAGACATTCTTCATGGTGCTCAGAAAGGAAGTTTGGGAGAATTTTACATCAGGGAATATGATAGCTGAGGGCTCAAATTACATAAATGAGGTACTGAGTCAGTTCAATTTGAGCTCCTTTTAATTGGTTTCATTCGTTCATAAGCTTGTCAGAAATATTTCCAATAATTCTTCAATTCCAAGATCCCGTCTACTAAAAGAGACACTGTTATTGAATGGCAGCTATTCAGGAATTTTTTTTTAGAAAGCACAACTTAAAGACACATCCTAATATAAAAAAAAAATATTAAAATGTGTGTCTCCAATGTGAAGAATATAAGCACGAAATGACTCCGGGGCTGGGAGAAGGAGTGAGCAAACATCTGGCTTTAGCAGATCCTGATACTCATTAAGGAAAAGATAATGGTGCAGGAGGGGCTGAGCCAGTACAACATGTGTCAGGCTCAAGACTGCAGCTTCCTGCATGGCGTTACTGTACAACTGAAGGGATCCCCTTCTCTGCCTGACATCGTTCTAAGGATATTGTTCCCATTTAGTGTTACTATCTATTAATCAACAGGCATTTATTGAATATTTATTGTGTGGCTCATATTGTGCCAGGACTGTGAGGAAAAGAGAACAGATGAGGATCTTGCATCCTTACCTCTAAGACTTGCACATATTCACGCATTAAGAAATAGAACACCAGCTCATTGTCAGCACTGTGTAGGCCCAAAGAACACAGAAATAAATATAAGTTGCCAATTCTTCCTTCAAGGTGCTACCAGTTCATTGATGGGGGAGGGGGACAACCACAGAAACGGGTAATTATACAACATGGGAAGTTATCGTGTATACAAGGAACTGTGAGACCCAAAAAGAAATCTGAACAGAAAGCCTTTCAAGAGGACATGGCTGTATGATTGAGATTTAAATAATGACAGGAGCAATTCCAGCTCTAAGAAAGCTAAGGATGCGAGAGGATTCCTGCCAGATAAAATGGCACAAGCAAAAGGCAGAGGTGAGTAAGAGTAGACCGTGCTGTGTAAAAATTTCCAGTACTTCAGTCTGGCTTATTATGAAAATGAGAAGAGGAGTTGGAAGGGATGAGGGTGATGAGATGCAGGTCTGATCACATGGGGATTAGACACCACTCAACCAAAGGGCTTTCTCACCTTTTACGGCAGCGTCAACTGCTCCTTCCTTGTACTGAGCCGCATCCTTGATGATCTGCATCATGTTCTGGGAGAACGCGCTGAGGTCTCTGACCGTCCGGAGCTTGAAATGAAACTGAGCCGTGGCCATGGCCTTCAGGTTCTCCTCAGAAGCTGTCTGCAGCCCCACGGAGATGATTCTCACCCCCTCTCGCTGCAGGGCCTTGGAAGCCACTTCCACGTCATCCTCAGATTCGGCCGACGCCAGGACCACCAAAATCGGGGGAAACAGTTTCTTATCTCTCCCGTTGGCTGGTTTGGAGAAATAGACCTTGTGAGCCTCCTGGAGAGCGTTTCCTATCCGCAGGGAGCCGCCCATGAACGCGAAGTTCTTCTTGAGGTGGTTCAGCATGGGGTTCCTGCTCTTGAAGGTGTTCAGCTGGAACTCACTGTGGAGACTGTCACTGTACTGGGCCAGGGCCACGCGGTACTTGTTGGACTCTATGGGGAGACTGTTGATCATCTTGCTAATGAATGTTTTCACAAAAGGGAAGGACTTAATTCCCAGGTGATCAGAGCTGTCCACCAGGAACACAACATCTGCATACTCAGGGCCTGGGTCTATCAAAATATAATGGCAAACCCAAACACAGTAATTATTCAGCCTTTACATTTCAGACCACAGTACTCATTTGAGTCTATGTCCTAGTTAATGTTAAGGGCAATTTTAGAGTCCCAAGGAAAGTGTCTTCTGGATGTCAAACGGAAGAAACTGTATTTGTTTTTGCTAAAATGTCAGATAAAAGGACTTTAGTACGTTAGCCAATAAATTTTTCTTCCTCAACTCTATGCCAGAAAAAAAAAAATCAACATTTTTTTCTCTTTTTAGTTGTCAGACCCCAAACTCTGATTTTGTCCTAAAGAATAAACATGATACCAAGAAGTCTCCAAGTAGTCTCTGGAGAAACCACAACTTTTAAAAATAGTTGAGTAAGCAGCAGTCTTGGGTTGGAAGCTTAGAAGAAGATCTGAAACAGGGATTTGGGGGAGGGATAGATTGGGAGAAAGCACGGTAAAGGAAGCAAGAGAGGAGCAAAGCAGGATGTCTACCTGTGGCCTGATTGAAGGGGACTCTGGCGTATCAATAATACTAGAATATCAATTATACTTTGAGACAAGAGGGAAAGTTTTTTGTATTCTCCTATCATTCACATTGGCTGCAGACCATCACAGGATATTAAAGGGAAGGAGCAGGGGTTATGGACATAACCTCCTGAGTAAAGTGGCTCTGAGAAAGCTGAGTGCAATTCTCCTAAGAGAGTGGCGTACAGCTGTGAGCTCTTGCAGGCAATAAGGTAATATTCACAGCTGCTGCTGGTGTGGGGGCGAGCAGGGGAGCGGTGTACCAGCCTGATAAAAAGAGTCTGGGCCAGGGACGGCACCATCAGTGTCTACATTAGTAGTCACGGTCAGCTTACTGCACTCTCAAAATTAATGAGGTTCCGGTAAAGGTCTGACAACCTTCTTTCAAAGTAACTCAGAAATTCACCAGGAAATTCTAGGGTATCAGGAGAGTAGAAAAACCTAGCTTTGCCTCCCTCCGTCCCTCCCTTCCTCCCTTCCTTCCTTCGTTCCTCCCTTCCTTCGTTCCTCCCTTCCTCTTTCCTTCCTTCCTTCCTTCCTTCCTTCCTTCCTTCCTTCCTTCCTTCCTTCCTTCCTTCCTTCCTTCCTTCCTCTCTCTCTTTCTCTCTCTTTATTTATTAAGGCCAAGATGGAAACTGACTTACAAAACGAATGAGTTGACTCTATTCATAGGGACAGGAAACACTAGGATTTAAGCAAATCAATGAATAATGAAAGCTTTTCTAGCCAGCTGTAACACAATCCATGACTCTTACCCATGGCTTTCTTTTATCTCTTAAGAGATTAAGTTAGCTTGCTATTACATACTTCCAACTACAACTAAGTGCTACATACGTTGATTTTTTAGTAAATAAATAAATTCCTTGTTTCTCTCCATTTACTAAAAGTTTGTTGAGAGATAAAATTGTTTACTTTCCTAAACAATTAATAATAAGCATAAACTACATAGGTACCTGGGCTCTGATCAGCCAGTGTTTCAGTCCAAAGAATCAGGACGAATATAATTAGCAGGTTCTTCATTTTGTTAGTGAGGGTCTCTTGCTTTTATTCTGTAAGAAAAAAATGTTATTTACAATATGAAAAATCTCATTGTTTAATAAGAAATAACTATGAGGAAAGTTGGATTAGAACACATTACACTGTACACAAAACAAGTTATTTGTCAAGCAATGCCAAGTGTATTTAAAACATTTATCAAGCATTTGGAGTATTTGTTGAAAGTAGATAATGCTAATGTTTGCTGAATGCTTCTCACAGCTCAGATACTTTCTCAGTGCTTTACAGCTGTCATCTAATTTAATCCTCACAACAGCCTTCCAGGGAGGTATATTCACTGTAGCTCTGTGACAGTTACAAAAATATGGAGGAGTGGCTTGCTAAGTGGTAGAGCCAGGATCTTGACCCTGGCAGTGATTGCAGAGCCCACATTCTTAACCACTGTGCAAAAAGCCTTATGCAAAATCTGTGTCCTCACAAAATGTATGCAGTCCTTATTCTTTGACTTCTATTTTTATGCCAACATAGACTATTGTATATGTTCACAACTTGGCTCAGAGAAAGCCAATAGTTATCCATGTGTTTCCTTCATTGAACCCTTGTGAAAACTGTTCTCTCATTTAGGGTTATAATCAGTTTTACAAATTCCTTTAACTTCAGCATTTCTCTCCACACAGTTTGCAGTCAATCAGACAACTCCATGGGAAATTACAATCTTACAGAAATTCCATCAGGTCTCAGTTCTTTATAAAAAGGGAAATAGATCAAATGGCCCATACTAAAAAACATAGCTGCCTAAAATGAGATACCAAAGATATAGGGCTGGTTTTTACACTAGAGTTGACTTTTCCAGCAGTTCACCTAGGAAACTTTGAAGTCACCTAGGAAACACCTAGGAAACTGAGAGAATCATTGGAAGCTAGATTTGGAAGAGACCCTACAGATCATTTAGATCAAACCCTTAATTTGCTGAGGAGGATACACTAACTAGGCTTCCCAGTAGCTTGTGCCTGAATCACGTCAACAATGACTTTCAAGTCTACACTCATCATATTGTACTATAACATGAATTTTACTTATTCATTCATTTTATTGAGATATAATTCACATACTATAAATTTTACCCTTTTAAAGTATATAATTCAATGCATTTTACTATAATCACAGGATTTGTCTCCATTATCACTAATTCCAGAACATTTTCATGAACCCCAAAACAAACCCCATACCAGTTAGAGTAACTTCTCATTCTCCCCTTCCCATAGGCCCTGTTAACCAGCGATCTGCTTTCTTCTCTATGAAATTACCTATTTTGGACATTAATATAAATGAAATCATATAATATATAGCCTTTTGTGTTTGTAATCTTTCATTTAACATGTTTTTAACATTTACTCATGCGGTGACATTTACCAGTATTTCAATCCTTTTTATCACTAACATTTATTGTATGGATATATAACATTTTAAAATCTGGTTGTCAGTTGATAGACACTGAGTTTGTTTCTACTTTTTGGCTGTTATGAATAATAATGCTGCTATGAACATTCATGTGTAAGTTTTTTGTCGACATGTTTTCATTTCTCTTGAGTAAATACCTAAGAGTAGAATTTTTGCTTTTATGGTAACTTTATGTTTAAAATTTTGAGAAACTACCAAATTGTTCTCCAAAGTGTCCACAACATTTTATATTCCCACTAGCAATGTATAAAGGTTCCAACTTGTCAATATCCTCACCAACACTTGTTATTTTCTTTTCTTTTCTTTTTTTTTTAGTATAACCATTCTAGTAGGTGTAAATGGGTATCTTACTGTGGTTTTGATTTGCATTTCCCTAATGATAAATGATGTTGAGCATCTTCTCATGTATTTATTGGTCATTTGTTTATCTTCCTTGGAGAAATACCTATTAAATGATTTGACCATTTTTCGCTGGGTTATTTGCCTTTTTATTGCTGTGTTGGAAGGGATCTTTACATACTCTGGATACTGAATTGTCTTGGCACCCAAACAAAGTGCTGTTGAATTTGGTTTGCTGGTGTTTTGTTGAGAATTTTGCATATATATTCTTTACACCTATTGGCCTGTAGTTTTCTTTTCTTGTCATGTTCTTATCTGGCTTTGGCATCAAGGTAATGCCAGCCTTGTAAATGAGTTTGGGAGTGTTCCCTCCTTTTGAATTCTTTAGAAGGATTTGAGGATTTAGTGTTAATCCTTCTCTAAATGTTTGCTAGAATTCACCAGTGAAGCCATCTGGTCATGGGTTTTGTCATTTTTATTACTCATTTGACATTTTTCTTCATTATTGGTCTGTTCAGACTTTCTATTTCTTCCTGATTAAGTATGGCAGTTTATTTCTTTCTAGGAAATTATCCATTTCTTCTAGGTTATCCAAGATGTTGGCATAATCATTCAGAGTAATCTCAGGATCCTTTGTATTTCTGTGGTATTAGCTGTGATGTCTCCTCTTTCATTTATAATTTCATTTACTTGAGTCTTCTCTTTTTTATTGTGAGTCTATCTAAAAGTTTGTCCATTTTGTTTATCTTTCAAAGAACCAATTTTGTAATCATTTCTATTGTTTTCCTATTGTTTCATTTATTTCTGCTCTAGTCCTTATTATTTCCTTCCTGCTAACTTTGGGCAAAGTTTATTCTTTTTCTAGTTCTTTGACATATAAAGTTAGGTTGTTTATTTAAGATCTTTATTCTTAATGTATGCATATATATTAATACAGTAGACCTGGCTAGTGTGGCTCAGTGGATTGAGCACCAGCCTGCAAATCAAAGGGTTGCTGGTTCAATTCCCAGTCTAGGGCACATGCCTGGGTTGTGGGCCAGGTCCCCAGTAGGGGGCGCATGAGAGGCAACCACACATTGATGTTTCTTCCTCTCTCTTCCTTCCTTCCCCTCTCTAAAAATAAACAATTTTTTTAAAATCTTTTAATACACTAAACTTTCCTCTTAGAACTGTTTTTGCTATATCCCAGAAGTTTGGGTATGTTGTTTGCATTTTTCTGGAGCCACTAGCTGGGTTCTGTTGTCACCTCTGTTCTGGCAAGGTCACGGGCTGTGTTCCCTGGCAGGGCAATGCCAATGACTGGACTCCACAACTGGGCAGGTCTATGGTCTGGGCTCTGCAATTGCTCTTGGTGAAATTTCAGGCTGTGTTCTCCAGATAAAGACTCCACTGTTTAGGCATAGCCATTGTCTGGGCTTCACAGTACAACAGGGTTATGCTCTGCAATCAAGTAGGGACACAGGCTGTACCTCGAAGTTGTCAGGTTGCAGGCTTCGCAGTCAGATATTCTGCTAATTGTTTGTGCTCCTCTGTTGAATGATGTTGCCTCCCAGACCCTCTAGTTGGGCAAGACCTCCACTGTATCCTGCAACTGGGGTGGTGGGGGGTGTAATGGAGGCTGTGCTCTGAGGTTGGGCAGGGTCACTGTCCAGGATCCCTGGTTGGTTGGAGCTGCAGACTCTATCCTCTGATAGGGCAGGGCCACTGGCTGGTCTTCCTGACTGGACAGGCTGTGTTTGGCAATCAGGCAGGGCTGTAGCCTGGGCTCCACTTCTGGGTAGTACCACGGGCTGTGCTCCAAAGCTGCCCAGAGTCACTGTTCATGTTCCCTGGTTATGTGAGGCTAGAGGCTATGCTCACCAATAGGACAGGGACGCTGCCTTAGTTCCCTGCCTGCGCAGAGCTATAGGATGAGTCTCACAGCTGCCCAGGTTCCCTGGCCAGGCTTCTGGTATGCAGGACTAGAGGCTCTGCTCAGTCATTGGATGGGGCAACAATTTTCTTCCTTGTTGGGGTGGGGCCATAGAATGGTCTCCATAGCCAGTATAGCCTATTGGCTGGGGATTCAAATCAGGCAGAATGGCCAACCAAGCTCCCTGGCCATATAGGCCATGGAGTTGGCTTGGTAGATGGGCAGAGCCACTGGCTAGAATCTCTGCCCAGATACTGCTGCAAGAAGGAATGTGGTCCATCAAGATCTGAGCATTGGTTGCTATAAGTCACATCCCCTTTTTCCATCTCTATCTGGTCCCCAATGGTCAAGCCCAATAGATTCCCCGGTGATCCCCATGAAGTGAGTCTTTTTTTTTTTTCTTTTAAGATTTTATTTATTTATTTTTAGAGAGGCAGGGAGGGAAGGAGAAAGAGAGGGAGAGAAATATCAATGAGTGGTTGCCCCTCGCATGCCTCCAACTGGGGACTTGGCCTGCAACCCAGGCATGTGCCCTGACTAGGAATCGAACCCTGTGACCCTTTGGTTCACAGGCTGGTGCTCAATCCACTGAGCCACACCAGCCAGGACTAAATGAGGTAAGTCTTGAGTGGGCCTCCTGGGAAGAGTCCCACAATGCTGGGGGAGCTGGGTGCCCCCTTTCCCACTGGAGGAACCAAAGACTGGGGTGGGGGTGGCCTCTCTGTGTGGGTGCTGCTCTTCTTATCCATCAAAGGTGGTCCTTCTTGGTTTCTGTGGTCCAGGAGTTGTTTCTGCCTCACTCCCAGGTTCTGGGATTTTCACAGTGGTGTCTTGTCTATGAGTAGTTGCCACTATAGTTGATCTTCTTGTGAGGGGGACTGAAGTCAGAAACAACCTATGTTGCCAGGTTAATGAGGTTACCACCAGGGGTTCCTGGACTGTGCCCAAGAGGGGCAGGAGCTGGTTCACAAGCTATTTGGGGTCTACAGGTGGGAGTCACTCCTCCTGGGTCCTTTGGCATATAATGCTACTGACAGAATCAAAACCAAAAGGGGATGTAGCTGAGCCCCCGTGGATATGGACCACAGTCAGCAAGTCAACTACCTGGGTGTGAGTCTGCTTTTTCAAAACAGGTCTCCTCAGTCTTGAACCGCACCTGGCTTCACAGTCTCCTACCTGGTTCTCAAAGCCCCTCAAAGACACTTTCGTTCAGAGAAGGATGCCAAGTTATTGTTCAGGAAGGTGATGAGTAAGAGATGTTTTATTCTACCATCTTGCTGATGTCTCTCACTTTTTCTTCTTAACTGCTTTT